AGCAGTGGTGGCGAACCTATGGCACACATGCCAGAGGCGGCACTCGGAGCCCTCTCTGTGGGCACGCACTGTCGTCACAGCCCCTCCTCACCAGCAGCCCCCCTGGAGGAGACTGGCCCCCGGGTGCAGCCCCCACAGAGCAGCGCAGCCAAGGACATAGCCAGGCAGCAGGGACAAGACTCCACCCTCACACCCCATAGCGTGCAGATGATGCTGCGGGGTGCGGTCGGAGGGCATGGCTGCCATGGTGCTGCAGGGCTGCCTGGGCGATCTGCGGTGGGCCATGGAGGCAGTGCATGGCCCAGTGGGCAGGTGGGGGAGTGGGCGGGGTGGAGCAGGCAGGGTGGGAGGCAGAACAGGGCAGGGAGCAGTTTTTGGGCACTCGGTCTCTAAAAGGTTCGCCATCACTGTCCTATAGCCACTGCATCTAATTTTCTACCCCAATATTTCCTTTTCATGGATTTGTTCCATGAGAAGGTTCAGCAGGAGATATTTCTGGCATGTATGGGTTCTGACACCATCTATTGGAATTATGATATGTGGCTTGGAAAGAGTGGGAGAGTGTAATATTCCCACTTTTCTTGCAGTGGGCTGCTTTCAACTTCAGAGATAGGAAAGTCCACAATTTACCGAGTCCATACCCATAAGTTTAATGATCTTTTTAAAAAAATAGACAATACACAAATAAACAAAATTAAATTCTGGTTTTTCAAAATTGTCAAAAAAACACATCCCAACCCCCCAAATTGGTAAAACTTTTCTTAAAATTTTGTGTTTCATGAAGATTAACATATCTCAAAGATACCATCATGAACTTAATATTTATTATTGTAATTGCTGACATGAGTCAAGGAAGGTAATGAACAGAAAAGTTGAGATGATGCAGTACTGCAATTTAAAATTGTAAAATTGTCCTCCAAATATCCCCAGCAATTAATTGAAATAGAACCACTTCATCTCCTAAAATAATTTCAGAAGCATCTTCTTGTTTGCTGGCTGTAAGGTCATCAATCCATTTTGTAATGAAAATTAATCTAAAAAAAAATCATAGCAAGCGATTGCTTGCTCCTAAAAATAAAATCTACCTTGTTTTCTGATAATTGAAAATTCGTACTCAGGACCAAAGTATGGTGGACAAGTCTGCACTTTTATCAGTGATCATGATTATGTGATTTAGACTAGGAAAGAAACCATAGTTTTAATCACTAAATTAAATATTCCTAACTAGTGATAAGAATTATGATTAGATTGATTTGATTTTAAATGAATTTATCCTGTTGGAAAGCATACCTAGGGGTGAAGGATGGAATATCATTGGTTCTAGAATCTTTTATTTCAGCACCTTCTATTCTAGAATCTTCTCCAAGGAAGGTGTGGCAAAGATGGTTGCTTCAAGCCATATTTTTCTTCACAAGCTTGCTTTTCTCCTCCTGAATGGGAAGTATGCACAATTAGTATCTGTGCTGTTGTGAGAACAGAGATTATTGTTATGCTTTTCCTTACTTCTCTTGATATTTTGTTGAGATTGGCTCAATATTTTGGGCTGTTTGAGGCAAATCTCCAGTGATGCCTCCCCTCCAGCACAATCTCTTCTGCCCCCACCTGCTCTGTGAAGCTTGAGATGGTTTGTTCCACCTACATGGGTGCTTATGTAGCAGGGTCGGCCATGTTGATGAAGTACACCGAGAAGGGAATTGCATATACAGTGCTCTGAACTTCAGAAACATTATTGGGCGTGTGGAATGAGAGTGATCCCTGAAGCCCCAGCAGGTGCTGAGCATACAAGACCACTGAACAGGCTCACCATTGTGGGCTCCTGAAAATGGACCAAGGAATGCTGGCAGCTGAAGGGACAGCTGCAATTTGCAAAGTCTTGGCGAAAGGCCCATCCCAAAGCGATGCCTTGATGTTAATGAGAAAAGAAAGGGAGAGAAGAAAATCTTTGTGGCTTGTTGGCTTGTGGTTTAAGAACTGTTGTCACAGATTGACATTGCGCGACACCCTTGCTAACCACAGGAAAAGGCCTTTGCCATTTGGGAGGAATTCAGCACTTCTTGCCCATTTCAAGTTGGCTGAACTCCTGTGTGCCTCAGCTCTGGAGAAATCAGAGAATTCAAGCAGCAAACTAGAAAAGTAGAAAACTGCTTTTCTGCCACTGTTCTGCAGAACCAAGAAAATCCTATTACCAGCCCTCTTTGTTTCTATATGGCCTAGGCACCTACAGAATGGAAAAATCATATCCCTGGGGGGGGGGGGAAGCTCTATCCCTTATTGTTAGCATGAAGGTTTGAGTCATTGCTGGAGGCCATCTTTTCCAGCAGTGATGCCTTTAAAATCTGCTGTAGGAGACTATAGTGGTGGAAGTTGTTCTCTGAAGAGCTCCTGAGGCTAAGCCTGTTTTTATCTTTATGTCAAAGTTAGGAAGCAAACAGGCTGTCAGCGCTACAGGAATAGTACACAGTGACATTTTGTGCACAAAGCTTTTATTATCCTGTTCTGCACTGCATAGCTCTATGTAACCTCGTATAGCTCTATGTAACCCTAACTAGAGAGCATGTATCAGTATGTTAGAATATCTGGCAGTTATTGGGTTAAATGCTGATTTGTTAATGGGTCAGTGGGAGGAGTCTCTAAAGGGCATTGGGAGACTTCCTGGACACAAGCCAGATTGGAATGTCTTTGTCTGAAAGAAGCATGGGCTATCAGATGTCACCCAATGAGCCTGCGCCGTTATAAAGATGGTATGGAAGAGAGCATCATTCTTTTACCTATCTTTTAATTTCTGACACTCCAGTATAACCTCAAACATCATTTTTTTAAAACTGTATGATTTAGTTAGAAGGACAGAATAGACTGGAGGTCTATTTTGGGCACCAGGGACTGGTTACGTGGAGAGAGATTTTTCCGTGGACCAGAGGGGGTGGTGCTTTTGTGTGCTGCCTGCATCCCTTGGATGGGGCTTTTCTTATTTATGCGGACCGGTTGCTGGCATGTTGCGGCCCGATACTGGTCCACGGACTGGGGTTGGGGACCCTTGGAATAGAGGGCTTTGATGGGTCTATTCTTACAGCCAATCTTTGTACATAGCTGTTAAAAAATAATGGGTCTTCCTCCTCCTTCTTCACTCTTGATTTCATGCACAAATTGAAGCTACCAGTCAATGAGAGTAATATTGTAATGTTGTGTCTTTAAATTGATTCGGATGCTGATTAATAGCTCTTTTTCTCTTTTTTGGTGCAAAGTTTTTACAAATAAAAACATTATGCCAGAAATGTGACTCAGTGGAAAAATTTTGGGGAGATGGATTTCTTTTCTGGATTGGAATGTATGAAATTTGAAGTGACTGCCTGTTTTGGATATCCTCTTGTTCATTTGCAATCTACTCCCTTCTTTGACTTCTGACACCTTTCAGTTCAGATTCTTTGAAGGCCATCCTCTGAACACCGCCAACTTTGCTTCTCTGTTTGCTTGTCTTCTTTCATCCCGGGATGCCAAATTCTTCATTAAGAATTTGAGGTATTCTTATACTTTACCACGCGTCCTTCCAGATTTCCCCAGAACTCTTTTCCAAAAAGAGCAATAACAATTTTCATATAAAACCAGCAATAATGAAACTGGTGTACCTGCCAGCCAGTTTCTCTTGCCAAACTGTCAGTTCACATCTACAGAAGATGCTCTGGATCATGTATAGATCACTGTCTGGTTTGTGTCTTGTGGGCAGAGGCCACCATCAATTCCAGAGGGTGTGTAAAGATGACCTGCCCTAACAACAACAACGAAAATATTCCAGCAACCATCAAGGTCAGTTTTTTTCTTCTGCAGAGATCTGCCTGGTTGCCCCAGGTTGCTAATGTGATGAAAGATTGAGAGAACTAGGTATGTCTAGTCCAGGGGTGTGGAACCTTGGCCCTTTTATGACTTGTGGACTTCAACTCCCAGAATTCCTGAGCCAGCATGGAATTCTGGGAGTTGAAGTCCACAAGTCATAAAAGAGCCAAGGTTCCTCACCCCTAATATAAGGCCTCCAAAAAACCTCCCTTCCAACCCTATTATTCTATGTTCTGATGTAAACTGTAGCTGTTCCTAGATTGCAAATGCCTCATTTCTATCTTGATGGCATTCACATGCTGCAGTTTTGGAAAGAACACATAAAAAGTGATGCAAGCTTTTTGAAAGCTTACCTGCAGCATCCCAAAGAAACACAAACGTGTAAACACTTATAGTTTTGTAGACCTGCATTTTGACAGAGCAAAAAGGGAAAGGAGAGTCATTTTTTTCTACAAAAGTTTTCATTAAGATGGAGTCACCTCCTCACTAGCCAAGAATATATGGAGAAAGAATCCAAAGCATTATGCATGAAGGCAATGCAGCAACTTTCTGTGTGAATTACTTTTAGCACTGAAATATATTTCTGAGGCTGACTCAGTTTAGTCTGGGGTTGCAAAAACCATCCTCATTATCTATGATATTTTCTTCATCAACTTCATTATGGAAGAAACTTTGGTGGGTTCTACAGTGAACCAATGTCCACAAAATTGTACAACATAATACACTTGTGCTAAGGTTCTTTTTTCCTTTCTCCAATTCATAAATGAGTTTTGTGAATTAACATGGAGGGAGAATTGTGTAATGGTATGTGGGTTTTTGGAGTCAAGGAGGAGGAGCCACAGACTAGTCAACAATCAGATGAGAAGCAGCAGAATCTCCAGAAGGAATGTGGGCATGGCAAACATCTCAGAAGGGAGTTTCTCGGCCTATGAAGGTGAGGGGAGGCAGATGTATTTTCAGACCTGTGAGATTCTTTTAGTGTAACCTTACAATAAAAATAGAGCTAGTGTATTTCTTATCTGAATTATCTTTCAAGGTTGATAAGGTGGAAATTTACCCTGAAGTGTCTAAATCTGTGTCAGTCTCATCTTCTTTCTTCAGATTTGACCCTGTCATCCACCTTGTATTCCTTTCAACACCACAACACTGACAAAGTGAAAACATAAAGAGAATGGTGTTTATAAATGTTTATTTCTTTTTTTAAAAAATATTGTCATATTTCCTTTCTTGGACTGGTGTATGTGTGCACTTGTTTCCTTAGATTAAGTAAGTAGTTAAAGTAAGTAAGTAAAATATTAGGCAGACACCACAAAGGTGAAATAGATTTTTCCAGGGAGCCATAGAGAAGCAGCACAAGAATGTCACAACTGGGTGATAAGGAAGAAAAGTTCTAGGAACAGAAAAATCAGAGGCGGGATCCTGCCAAAGTTTAGCTTTTAAAAAACATCCTATCGAGGCTTTCCAATGGGTAGATTTAAAGGTTAAGTCCCCCCAAAGGAAGCACATAGGCGATGAACTTTGTAGGATCATGCCCACAGTGTCCTAGCACCCATGATACACACACATACATTCTAACACTTGGTTTTGTATTCAACATCTAGAATTATTGAGATACAATTATAGCACTTAAATATACAAACTGAAATTGAAGCACGCAAACACGATCTTTAACTCTAAAATTCAGAAGTTATTATTGCACATCAGACTTGTAAAATAGGTTTCCAGGCTATACGCAGGTTTGTTTCTCCTCAGTTCTGATTTATTAAGCATATAATGTTCTTTAAAAAAAAGAAAGCAAACACTCTCAACACTTTTAGAATAGTTATCTATAGGTGGTTTTTAAAATGCACTCTGTCCATTAATACTGAATATAAAGGAGAAAGGATTAATGGCATAAACAGATTGATGTTTAGAACAGCTATCCTCAGTTTTAAGCTCCAGATGTTAGACTCCCTTTGCCCATAATCTCCCGTCAGCAAAAACCCTTGGTAATATTGATTTGGCATTATGGGAGTTACATGTGGAGGGTGCCAGTTTGGCAAGAATCTTTTTTTTTTTTAATGAGCAAACTGGGAGTCCCACAATAAAATAGGTAGACATCTTAACTTTCAACACAGCAGCAAAGAGATGTGCATGTGTTTCTCTAGGGCACAAATTTAATAAAGCACCATAACAATACCCTAACATGGGAAATTCACTCAAAGAAGCTGATTTATGGACCTCACAACCAACGGGGCTGCAATTTGGACTGATGTCAAAGCCACATCTCAAAAGTCTCCTTTGGGAACTTGAAGACAGGTTGGTCAGATCACTACTGGATTGGACCTGGGACTACAGTCCCATACTGTTGTCTGTCTTCAGCTGCTAAGTTTCTTGAATTGCCCTGACTTCCAGCTGGACTATTAGAGCTCTGCAAAGCAAAGGGGATGGCTCATTTTCTCATTGGAGGGGATTTTTGCTTCATCCTTCCTCCCTCCTTCAGATACTCCAATCAATTTTACTTTGTACTGTTTATCCAGAGCCACATTAACGTGAGTTCAGCCTTGACTCTATTAGGGGATTGGTGGCTGAAGAACGTCATTGCCCACCCATATTGACCCAAGCCAAGCAAATAAAGATAAAAGTGACAAGACTTCTTTCCTCCGACTGGCATGAGGAATGACTGCTGTTGCTGTACAGCCAACAGTTTGAGGGAGTAGTGATTGTCATTTGTTGCCAAGGTATTGAGTCTGCACAGGTGAAGATGATGGTGGATTGCCTTTAAAACAACTTCAGTAGGATTTGGGAATGAAAAGGATGGTGTGTAACTGCTCTGAATTGGTTACTACCATTTTTAATCTTGATTGCAGCATGCAGCCATAACCTAATCCCATAGTTATTGAATTAAATCAATGCTGGACTGAGACACATAAAATAATTCTCAGCTGGCCTCGAAACCACTAACAATTTTTAACAAGAAAACTGCAATCACCAGCAGTCAAACTCAACTTTACTTTTTTACTTCAACCATTCCTAAAAGAAAGCATACACAGGATGATTACCTGCTAATATCTACCCCATAGCAGAGAGCAGCAGTAATTTCATTTCTGCATTTCGTGCTCGCAATGTGAAACTGTTCAGGTACATCATTCCCTTCCTCAAATTATCTGCAAGAGATGCAAATCAAAGGAAAATAGTCCTTGCACTCATGGAAGGAAGAAAGCAATCTCTGTTCAGTAATTTAATGGAAGTTAATTTAATGTATTCTAACCTAATGTTCCAGTGGAATCAACTTTTCACCCAGTTAAGTGCTAGCTGAGCTGTTTCTTGATATATGTCATACTTCAAAGGAAAAGAAAAAGTTGGGGAAAATAACCAGAGAACTTTAATTCTCGTAGTTCAGAATGTAGAAAATGAAACATTAAGATCAAAACTATAGTGACTTTTCATTCATGTTACAAAGAGTAGATTAGCTTTGCTACTGAATATATGCTCAATAGGAAGCCGCAAGCAATCATAGTTCCCTGATAAAGCTACCTCTATGATAAACATGGTTTGAGAACGTTATAGACACAGACTACATTCACACCTACAAGTATTCTTCTAAAATTGTAAACATTCTAAGGGAAAATCTCAAAAAGCATTAATTCAGCAGGCCATGCAGTCAATTGCACTAAGTTCACAACTGGGGTCAGTAGATTAAAGTTTTGCTATTCTTTATTTGCATTACAATCATTTAGATGCATACGAACTCTGATAATCCATTGCCTAGCGTTTAGAAGGAACTGTTGATTATTCTAATTTCAAAAAAAGAATGGAAATATAAACTGGTTTTCCAAAAGCTCAATAACTCCATATCTGGTTGAAACTAACCATACAATAAGAACCTTAACCTTGACTATTCTCTTGTTTCTCGTTCCATCAGCACAAAGATGTTAAAGACAATGGAATTGCTACCTAATATGCTATGGCCTAGAGCAGTGTTTCTCAACCTTGACAATTTTAAGGCATGTGGACACAGCATTGCTGGCTGTGGAATTCTGGGAGTTGAAGTCCACATGCCTTAAAATTGTCAAGGTTGAGAAACACTGCCCTAGAGTCAGATGTGATGCTCAGAGGACAGAGATGATACCCTATTTTGTTTCCCTCAGCAAAGGGAATCTTTATTTTTGAAAATGAGTTGATATATGGTGTTGAATTGCCAAGCTGCCTAGATACAGTAGCTTATCCTTATGGAAAACAACACAGTAGTGATGAATGAGAGTATCGTGGAGCACAGAGCCATAAAAAGGGGGTTAAGAGTGAGTGAACTAAATACTGCTTCCTTATTTACAAGTTAGAACAAGTATTCTATTGTTTCAGAAGGTGAGATAAGTTAATGAACCTTAATTAACACATTTCCCTTCATAGAGGCTCTTTGTATGATGGTCCATTTGTAGAAGCAGAAATTCTATGACTCAAAAGTCTGCCTTCAAAATCAGAGGCCTTATTTGGAGAAAAACATCCTACCATTGAGTCCCTATATGGGGAACAGCTGAGGCTGGCTGATTAGGGGGAATGGGGTTGATTTGTTTCTTTTTAAATCCATGCCTACCTAGAGGAAACAGGTTGTCTGGAAATGTGTGGGCGCATGTGTCAAAAAATCAAGACAGAGTTCGCAACCGTGTGACTGAAGCCCATCTTTTGTACACTCAATGAATGTAGAAAAAGGGTGGGACTATGATCACAAGGTTTTGGACTCCATCTGTCTTCTTTGAACCCTCTGGAAGATGTCTCAGAGATGAAGCCTTAGTAAAAGTGTCTGGGTGGGTCTCAATTAAGGACCAAGACTTAATGAGAAAAATGTTACTAAGAAGAGAAAATGCTTTATTCTGTCCAAATGTTACCTCTTCTAGATTTTTCTGACTTGTGTTAGGAAATCAGATCGCAACTCTGGACAGTTTTGCATTCACATCCATTTGTCAAGGTGAACCAACATGTCTCATTTGAGCTTCTTTTATGGAGGCTTTAGGGATATTATTGTTTCTGCTTCAGTAACACAGCGATGAGTTGCTGAAAATGCAAGGCAAATAATGGACTTCTTTTAAGGTAAAATTAAGGCTGGAGCTAAGCAACCTTTTTATGTTAAGAGACTTGAAAGCAATTTCAGAGAAATCTCACTGGGGTTTCTTCTCAAAGAGATGAAAGCAGCATCCTACTGTCTATTTTTCACAAAGCTGTTTCCCCCCATTTTCTTCCTTTGTTATTTTTGCTCTTCAGGGTAGATGCATAATTATGTTTTTGATAATGAAAACCTACAAAACCTGTGAGGAAAGGCTTTTAAAGGTTGGAGGGAAGAGTTACCAGCAGAGTTTAGTGCTTGTTTGTTGTATCATCTTCAATTATCTGAAGAGAAACTAACGAACAATTGTCTGTTAGCCACAGAATCATCAAAAGCTGATAAACAAGTGTAAATGGCAAGACTAGTCAACACAGTTAACTAGCTTTAAGTGGAGTTAACTGTGTTAACTGGAGTTAACTGTGTTAACTAGTTAACAGAGACAAGCTGCTGCTTTTGTCTTACCTACCTCTACAAGCACCATTTGGGGAGGCTACCCTCAACAACGGAATGTATTTTAGTCTGAAAAAATGCATTTACAACTCCTTAAACATGCATAATTGTGAAATGCAAACTCGGATCACCCACACTCATATCACCTGCACAGATGGAGGGAAAGGCCAGGACAAAAAACCGAGGGAGACAACTTCAACGCAACACTTGAATCCAGGCTAAGATCTTAGAAAGAAAAAAAAGAGCTGGAGGACACAAAATCTGCAACCTCTACAACAATGAAACACCCCCCCCCCCCCCGCTTCCCAAGCACTGTCTTCTCCTGCTAGTGATCAAATCAAGTCTTGTTCAGCTGTGATCTCTTCTTTCATGAGAAAAGATAAAGAAACACATGAAGATAGGACCATGAAGTGTGCAAGGGTGAAGGAGTGTGACAGCTGGAGGAGGAGGAAGAGGAGGAGTAAATATGAGTAAGATAGAGAATTCAACACAGCAGGGCTCATTTATTATCACAGCTGGACTACATAAGAAATCTCTGTTACTGGACTTACTGGGAAGTGAGGCTGCTTAAAATCCCATGCTTGCACACTGTCCTGAAGGGTTCAACCAGAAGCTCAGTATCTACATAAAGTTTGGGGTACTTGATGTAAGCCAAACCACCTACCCTCTTCTCAGTGTGTATTCACACATACTCACATCCACTTCAGCACTCAACATTTCTTCATGCCACCCAAGGACATGCACAGCTACAACTTGGACAGGATTGTAGTACAGGTGTTTAAATACTTGCAAGCATACATGCTCACAACAGGGTGAGTGTATCCAAATGCAGGGAACTGGAGAAATGACTTTCCTAAAAAAGAATTTAATTGGCCTTATCAGGATTAAAAAGCCTGACATTCACTAACCAAAAAAATGATAATATTTTTTTCCAGATGTTTCCCACTGGCTAATTTTTGAAAAACAATGTCTAATTTATTTGAAAAAAAGAAAATGATTTTAGCAGGCTGAATAGAATTATCATTAACTTTTTCATCGTTAGCTAAAGCACATGCTTTAATAGATAATGCAATTTTGTATTTATTCCTAATGTCTTTCTTCTATGTTGTGAAGATAAAGGATTGTATTGCAGAATGTAGGAGGAGAACAGTGAGTTCTAGTTAGATACAGATTTCCCACACCCAGGACACAGAGCAATATAATAACAAAGCTACTGAGATACCTATCTCACCATACCTTTTATCATGGGAAATATTTCTTGCAGTTGCTGTAACTAGCCTGCTGATTTCTTTTTTTCACAACTAATTACTTTATTCTTTTAACTGATGTTCTCAGCAATCTCTGTCCCAGAACTCCTTGCCTTTCCATCGGTATGTCTAGATGACTGAAAAGCCCTTTATTCTACAGCACTAGCTAGCACATCAACCACATTAGAAGCCAATACAGACACGTTTGAAAGCTTTCCTAACAGGAAGCCTAAGTCCAGTAAATGTGATCATACATTAACTCAGTGCATGGATGTTCAATCTTTCAGGGGAAGCTTTCCAAGATTTTGGAAACCTATCTAGAAATGACTTGTGTGGAACTATATTTGTAATTAGCGATACATTAGCTGTCCCTCTTCAATATGGTCCTAGATCTAAATGTCTAGTCACAGGAGAGTGGATTGTTCCCGATTTCTGACCTGTTAGGCAAATTCTGGTGATCTACTGCAATGAAGACTCACAAATGATTGGCAGATTGCTTGACAAGCATTTGGACAGGACATATACTGCAGGATATTGCTGAGCACCATAGCCAGAGCGATGAAGGAGGCAGGTGTTTCTCACATCTTTTGAGCCTGGTTAGGAACTGAAATGTGTCACTGATCATTAATTTTTTAAAATTTAATATTAACAAAAGATTCTCTGGAACCTACAGTGCAGAGTACTTCCCCCCACCCCTTTTGCTCGGCTATAGCTTTGATCTCTGTTAAGCTGGGAAGAAAGAGATAATCTCCACAGCCACATGAAGAGAATGGACCCACCCAGGCAAGTGTACATACATTCACACATACACGCACTCGCACATTCTGCCATAGTTAGTTACATTCAACTGTGTTTCCTGATCATCTTGTTCAGTTGTTCCTCTCCATTCAGTTTTGACTGCTACCTCCCAGCCTACAGCCTGCATCCTGGCCAAACAGGGCCCCTTGGTGACATCTACCAAATATAGCCTCCATCATCTGCTTCTCCTTCTTCTTCTTCAGCTTCCTCGCCGGCTTCCTCTGTCTCCTTCTCTTCCTCATCTTCCCATCCGACACCACTCCCAAAGTCCCCTGAGAATCCAACAATGTCATCTACAGAAACAAGAACAAGAGAAATGCAGTAGGAGGGGAACATTTCCTAATCCTTCAATAGTGGGGAATATATGTTAGCTTAGGGATGAATTGCTGGGTCTCTCGCAGAAACATCTGCAAGAAGAAACTCAACCTCAGGGAGTACCAACAACCCTTCACCTAATTCTAGGTTTGGCAAGAAAGAGATTTTACATTCTTCGGTATTAGTTTGAAAGATTGCAGCAGCAGCTGCTTTAAAATGCAAATTCTTTCAAAAATTGAACCACGGGGAGCTCTTCTGTTATTTCAAAATCAATTGGATATTAATATGGGATAATGGCAATAATGTTGCCCTTGTCCCAAGCCACGTGTGCAGAAAAATGCGAATAAAATCAAATCTTTAATTCAGTCATTAACCATCACAGGTAGGATTCTTTTAAGTGTGGATCTGAAGATGCTGAAGAGTGGCACTATTTATACCTGTTATTTTCCCACCTTGCCTAATATCCCTATTCAAAACGTCCAGGGGAGATAAGGGACATCCTTGCCTTGCGCCCTTTTAAATTTCACAAGGTTTAGTTAAGTCTCCATTAATAATCATTGCTTGCAGTGAAGTGTAAATTGCTTTAACCTATACTAGATGAATTGGAGAAGATACTCGAAGTCTCCATAGTATCTTCTCCAAAGGAACAGTATATTACTGGCTAACAGTAAGCAAGACACAAAATGCAGAGTAGCAAAAATATCTTAATTTACCAGATCCTCCTATTTACATTTAAAAGGGAATAATCAGAGGTACTCCCAAGTCTGGAAATGCTACATGCTTCCCCTAAAGGGGAAGGAAATCTTCCCTTTCACAGCTCCTGCCATAGAGTCATGCATTTCTTCATTCAGAAGAAAACAAGGAGCAGTCACTAAACTGCTCCTTTTTTCCTCCCACAAGGGGGAAAATATTGTCTATGTATTTATCTTAGTCTACATATGTCTAAGTGGGGAGCCCAAGTTCATCTTGCATCCAATGATCTCCTTATCCCACTGTGGAATACCTATTGAAGCCCAGCTCTCTCATAAATCCTCAAGTGGGATGCCTCAAAAACTTGGATGGGCTCATTATGGACATCCTTCAGGTAAGATGTGGGACGGAGCAGTTCTGGGATGCTTGCAAAGTGACTGCTACCTGGAGGGCGGTTGGGACTGCTGAAGGAACTTGGACCAAATGGATCACACAGATTAGAAACGCTGTCAGATAGAATTAGTCTTCCTTGTGTGATGACATTTAGGTATCCCAAAAAAAAAGCACCTTTCAAGCACAAATTCGGCTTATTTGATAAAGTACTGATAGTCCCTTGACTTACGGCTACAATCGAGCCCAAAATTTCTGTTGTTAAGTGAGACACTTGTTAAGTGAATTTTTCCCTGTTTTACAACCTTTCTTGCCACTGTTGTTAAGTGAATCACTGCAGTTGTTAAGTTAGCACCCCGGTTGTTAAGCGAACCTGGCTCCCCCATTGACTTTGCTGGTCAGAAAGTCGCAAAAGGGGATCACATGACTTTGGGATACAGCAACCATCATAAATATGAGCCAGGTGCCAAGCATCTGAATTTTGAACACAGGACCATGGGGATGCTGCAAAGGTCGTAACTGTGAAAAACGGTCATAACGGTCACGTTTTTCAGTGCCGTTGTAACTTTGAACGGTCACTAAACAAACTGTTGTAAGTCGAGGACTATCTGTAAATAAAAAAAGTCAGTAAAGACATTTTTAAGAGAAACGAGACAAAGGTTTGCTTGATTGTGCCTTTTGTGGGAGGACATGAAGATGCACATCCACAGGCTGACAGCACCTGGCCTTTGTGCTGGTGCCAGCAGGGAGTTCCCCAGGAACCCCAAAAGTGCAGATTACAGGGTGAAGTCACACAACCCCATGGAAGAAGGCAACAGCAAACAATTGGCACGATTGCCAAGAAAACCTTGTAGTTGTGTCAATGTACAGGTAGCCCTCGACTTAACGACCACAATTGGGCCCAACATTTCGGTGACTAAGCCAGACAGTTGTTAAGTGAGTTTTGCCCCCATTTTATAACCTTTCTTGCTGCAGTCGTTAATCTGAATCACTGCAGTTGTTAAATGCATCGTATGGTCATTAAATGAATCTGGCTTCCCCACTGACTTTGCTGGTCAGAAGGTTGCAAAAGGTGATCATGTGACCCCGGGACACCGCAACTATCATAAATACATGCCCGCTGCCAAGCATCCAAATTTTGATCATGTGACCATGGGGATGCTGCAACAGTCGTAAGTATGGAAAACAGCCATAAGTCACTTTTTTCAGTGATGTCGTAACTTCAAATCATCATTAAATGAGTGGTTGTGAGTTGAGGACTGCCTGTAATGACCAAGAGTTTGAGGTGAAGATGTCCTTTTGCTACTTCACATGTAATGTCTACTCCCAAAGCTTCCTCTTGCCCCAAATCTTCTCCCCCTCCCCTTTTCTTACCACAGTCTGGATTCCCATGCATCCGTGTTCCTGTCAGCTCCATGCCGAGATGATCAACGCACCAGCATTCTCCACTGCTGGAGTCACACTGCATCTTCCGGTAGTATCCATCCTCATCACAGCTCGGGATGAAGACTCCTGGGGGAAAAAACAGCCTCCTTGTGCTAAATAAAACAGGCCCCGAGGACTTAGCACACCTCCGACGCTCCAGGATTCTCTGAATGCAGCTCCAGACCTCTGTGTTCTCATTCAGAAATTGTGCAGATATATTTCCAGACTAACATTTGGGGGGGGGGGGCAGGGGCATTTTCTTGCGTATCCTGATAAAGCTCTGCAGAAGCTGAAAAATATCAGTTTTGTGAATGGCAGGAAATCTTGCCCTGCCCCGGGTTACATCTGACTCGCCATGCTTTTCAAGGGTCCTTAAAGGAGAAAGGGACCCTTACGGCTTGACAGCTCCCCCCCCCCCAAGTCACAGTGCTGCCTTTTTTGCACCCAACCGGACAAATGCACATGGCTAGTGCATGTTCTGTTTTAAACCAAGCCCAGGATTGACTGGAAGAGCTTCTAAGGCTGGCAGATTCCCGCAATTCTTTCCCATAGCAAAGACTTGACATTGTCAAGAATGGTGCCCTTTCCTTTCCTTTTCAACAGGAAGGGTGAGGACATGTAAAGCTTGGCTGGCTTTGTTCTCCTCTGGGTTATTAGGGAGGAGAGTGGCTGCCTGCCATTCTTCCCCTTTGGTGTGCCTCGGAGAGTGAAATGAGTTTTGTTGCTTCTCCCCATAACTCTTCCCCTCTTCCCCATAGCCCCTCATTGCCCATTGTGGTGCACTGTTGTTCCTCTCTCCCCCCCCCCCCGCCTTTCTCCACACCAGCCCTGGTAGCTGCCGCCATTAGAGCAACCGGAAAAAGCCTCCGGCTGCCAAATTGCTGGCTCCCTCCCTCCCTCTCCTTTTATCATCCTTGCCAGCCAGAAGCTTTTATTATTGCAATTATATCCTGCCTTTCATCTGGGAGTGCAAGGTAGCCTACATGATGGTCTCTGCTCATTTTATTCCCCCAGCAACAGCTTTGTCAGGGAGATTGGACTGAACTTCAATGCAGCACCGATGGCTTCGTCCCGCTCACCCATCCGGCGTTCGCACCTAAGGGAAGACTAGATATCGAGGAAATTCCAGTTTCAAGTTCGGCACCCCTAACTACTACGCCAAAGGGATGACCTTGATCCTGTTGTGCTTTTCACGAACGTGCCTTTCCTAGCAGCCCCTGGAACAGGGCGAGTGCGATCTATCCTCTGGCAGACGCGTTCTGCCTTACGCCTGTCACTGAGTTTAGCTTGTCCTTCTCTGATGCATTCAATTCTCTCCGTTGTCTCGTCTGCTTATTTTGCTGTTTTTCATCCTAAAGTGTGAGCTGCTTAGAACTGCTTCTTGCGATGGAGGGGGCATATGGGCAGGATGCAACGAGGAAATATATAATGTGGGGCACAGGTTTATTTTTGCAAACGATAAGAGAAATACATAAAGAGTGTGTGCTTAAAAGGTAAATTTGCAAATGGATTTACTCATGTTATAGGACAGACAGTCTGATTGGTCACAAATAAAGGCAAATATATGTGTCCCAGGACATTGCGGGATCCAATCTGGGTCAGTCCCTGGGTTCAGAGTTTTAGTTTTCTGAGTTTTCTGATTTGTGCTAGAGCCCATTCTCAGGGAACCTCTCTCTATTGCAGTGTTTCTCAACCTTGACAATTTTAAGGCATGTGGACTTCAACTCCCAGAATTCCACAGCCAGAATTCCAAAAACTAAAACTCTGAACCCAGGGACTGACCCAGATTGGATCCAGCAATGTGATTTTTCTTAGGACTTGAAATCGCTGGGTCTGGGTCCCTATGCGAGGGATTGTTTTGCACTCTCTGAGGGAAAACTCCAGCTGGATTATGGTTTGATATCCTTCAGCTCAACTTTGTGTTTCCAGATAGACAAAAGTGCAAACAATCTTTGGTTACCTTAAAATGGAGAAAGTGGGGATGGAAAGGCTGGAGCGTGCAGGTGACTTGAGCTACAACAACAATTATTTTTATTTTCAGGAAGAAGAGCTGGTCTCTCCCTGGGGATCTGATGTTTGTACACTACCACTGAACTAGAGTCCATCTCCCCCCCCCCTAGAAATGTAAAGAAAAAAAAGCTCAACCATCAGAGCTAAATTAGCCACAATTACATTTGTTTGTTGTTGTTGTTGTTTTTTAAAAAAATTGGCTATATTCTGCAAGGTATTGTTTTTGAAAGCATGCACCACTTCAATGCATAATTATGTGATTTAGGTTCTAATTGTCAACAAGCAAATGAGGCATTACATTAGCAGGAGTAAAACCATTCCAAATTACTAAGTCTTTTTCTCACTCCGATGGCTTATTATGTGGAGTTTCTCCACCAGTCATCACCCACACAATGGATCAGGCCTGAGGGATCCATTACATCTGCCAGGCTCTTCTGATGAATGTCAGCGTGCTCAGCACTGGAGTGTTCTCTAGTCACAGAAACGTCACACAACTCTTAAACATCTTTAAATTCCAGGAACTCCATGTCGTACTTCCATAATGATTCTTGAACCGTTGGGGAATATGGAGGTATAATAATACAGTAAATAAATTTAAGCGCTGGTCATCACTTCTCAAGAAATGATGAGTTTATGGGCAGGGTAAGATAAATGTTTTACTTCGTAGGAGATAACAACCACAACTTTGATTGCCAGATTTTCATACTATAGCACTGAAATTTGCAAGCATTAAAAAAAGCCATGAGCAAAGATCATTTTAAGTGAAGTACAGATACTACAGGAAATAGGCCTTTTTCAAAGTATCTTTTATCCTCTTGAAATCAAGCACACATTTGTTTGCCTCCAAAGTCTGAATTCACATCGACTGGAGACAGACAATGCATCGAAGGCAGCTTGAATTTATCAGTTGTCACAGATGGATGCCCTCAGCTTATTTTTCTTGGCCTCTGGTGAATGAGTTTGATACGTTTGGCTATTATTTCATCAGAATTACCCAAACAGAACTGACAGAGACATACAACTGGATCTGTAAGCTCAAGCAACGAAGCCTTTCCCAAACCATTTTGAGCTCTCTTAAAAATAGCTGCTTCATTCATGTGCATTACTAAGCGAGTTTATTTAAAACTGGACAACCTGCAATAGACGGTTGAGATAAGCTTTTTGTGAAATGGTGCAGGGAATTGGAATATCTGTTGGCAGGATAGAGAGAAACCATGGCTCAGGGTTGAATCCCACAACAATGTTCCTATGCTCTGGGAAGAATTTGCTTTTAAGCTAAAGTCGGAAACAGAGCAGCTCATCCTGAAAAAGGTCACCATGGGTTATATAGTTCAACTTGTCTTGGGAAAATCTTCAAAGAAAACATGAAGGAAAGCCTTAGCTCTCTAGTGATCGTGAGTCTAGATATCCCCAGTTTAAGTTCTGTATCTTGCACTATAGATGAAGGAAATAAACTAGTTTTGGAAGCAAAAGAGGGTTGTCTATCACACATGGCTCTTCTTCTAACTCATGATCTCTGCTTCCAGCCTTAGTCTACAACAGGGGTCTTCAAACTTGGCCCTTTTATGACTTGTGGACTTCAACTCCCAGAATCCCTCAGCCAGTGTGCCTGGCTGAGGAATTCTGGGAGTTGAAGTCCACAAGTCATAAAAGGGCCAAGTTTGAAGACCCCTGGTCTACAATATAATGATAGGGCTGGACAGTGGTATCCCTGGGGCTCAAAGGGAAGCAGAATGATTCAAACAATCTTCTGGTGTTCAGACATACATTCCATCTCATTGAGGTAATGTACATGAGATGAAGCTTGTGGTTTGAGGCTACTTTCATTATTCCCATAAAAACAGCATGAATAGACAAGACCCATGAGTGGTCATGAAGATTATTTTAAAAATTGAAAAGAAAATGTATGTGATATATCTGAATAATATACAGAAAGCCAGTTTGGTCTAGTTTGATTAAGGCACTGGGCTAGAAAGTGGAAGACTGAGTTCTAGTCCCACCTTAGCCATGAAGGCCAGCTGGATGACCTTGGGCCAGCCACTTTCTCTCAGCCCAACCCACCTCACAGGGCTGTTGTTCTGGGGAAAATAGGAAGAGGAAGGTGTGTTGGATATGTTTGCTGCCTTGAGTTATAGAGTAGATAGAAATAATAAATGTGGGATAGCAAACAAATAACCGAAATAACCAAGATTCTTAATATATAGCCAAGTTATATCATTCTCATAAAATATGTTATATATTATTCCCATAAAAAGAGCAAGATTTATGATAATATCTTAAAAACTGAAAAATATATGTGATATATCTGAATAATTTATATATATATGTGTATACACACACACACACACACACACACACACACACATACACTTAAATAATATATACTTAAATAATCCAAGATCCTTAATATAGAGCCAAATTATATCACTAAGACATCTACTGCCTCTTAGAAATGTTATAATCAAACAAGATCTTTTACCATCTTCTACAAGTCTCTTCTACAGGTCTCCAAAACCATTTTCTTTTCTACTTTTACCTCAGCAACTCACCAGGTTTCTTTTTTGAAGCTTCCTGGATCTGAATCCTCTCCAGCTCCGTAAGACATGGAGGCTCTGTAACAGTCAAAGCAGAATTCATCAGTGCCAAATCAGCTCAACGTGATCTCCTGAGCATATTAAGGAAGCAAGTTCTTTTCCTGCAATTCGCCCTCAATCTAGAGTTGAGGGACAAGAGCATTCACCTGTTCTACCAGCTTACTGTAAAGATGACTGTAATAATAATAAATGCAAATAGAACTATGAATTTAGGAAAGTGCATTATATAGCTTTTGGCAGTGGTGGGATCCAGCCAGTTCGCACCACATCGGCAGAACCGGTAGCTAGTTTTTTGTTGCCCAGGCCCAGAACGTACTTCTGGAAGCGACATCCACACAGAGAACCAGTTGTTCACATATTTGAATCCCACCACTGGCTTTTAGGCATTTTATTACTTTGTTTGAAACAGAACCCAAGCTCTAATATATGCATCAAGCCACCAGGCCTTTGCTTTATTCCCTGAAATCTGGTAGCAGGGGTGGTGGTGCCATCAATGTACACCTAGATATATAGAACATAGAATCATAGGGCTGGAAGGGACTTCAGAAGCCTTCTAGTCCAACCCCCTGCTCACAGGAGGAGACCTTATACCAGTGATGGTGAACCTTTTAGAGACCGAGTGCCCAAAAACTGCCCCCCTCCCTGCTCCACCCTGCCCACTAAGCCACCCACCAGCTCCACGGCCCGCCACAGATCACCCAGGCAGCCCAGTAGCATCATGGCAGCCATGCCCTCTACCCGTGCCTCACAGCATCATCTGCATGCAGTGGGGCGCAAGGGTGGAGTCTTGTCCCCACTGCCCGGCTACCATGTCCTTGGCTGCGCTGCTTCATGTGGGCCGTGCCCAGGGGTGACTCTCCTCCAGGAAGGCTGCTGGTGAGGAGGGGGCCGTGGGAGGAGGCAGGGCTGGGGGGGGGGGACGGTGTGTGTGCCCACAGAGGGGGTTCTGAGTGCCACCTCTGGCCCCCATGCCATAGGTTCGCCACCACTGCATTATACTATCCTGGTCAAATGGTTGTCCAATCTCTTTTACGAAAACCTCTAGTGACGGAGCACCCGCAACTCCAGCTGGCAAGATATTCCATTGATTAATTGTTCTCACTGTCAGAAAATTCCTCCTTCTAGGATGGATCTCTCTTTAATAAGCCATCTAGTTAGTACATCAAGGTACACCTAGATTATCAGAGTATCTATGTTTGTCTAAGCAGCTACTGTAATCTTTAGCCTTCCCCCTGTAATAACAAAGACTTAAGGGACCTAGCAGGAAAAAAAAAGAAAGTCTTGTGACGCACTCTCTCTCCAGAAGCAGAGACACCACTCTGCAGTGGAGACATGGCCATCCTTGTAGGTGTCGCAGGAATTGAAGAAAGGCCGGATGCAAATCTCATACTTATCCAGGTTGATAGCCGCCAACTCTGCCTGGTCTAGGAAAAGGTCACTGTTGGTGTCCAGCTTGGAAAACATCCAACCAATGGAATCCTTGCAACTGGCCACCAGGTTTTTGTCCAGTGCTGCAATAAATGAAAATTCAAATAACCACAGAAGCAGAAACAGCAGTGGATATATTTGTTCTTCACAGAATTTTGAAGTCTATATCCCATGATTGCAGAAATAGGATGCAGATTTGCACATCTGGAAAATCCTAACTTTCGTTAGTCCTTCTAAGACAGCGGTCTTCAAACTTGGCCCTTTTATGACTTGTGGACTTCAACACCCAGAATCCCTCAGCCAGTGTGTCTGGCTGAGGAATTCTGGGAGTTGAAGTTCACAAGTCATAAAAGGGCCAAGTTTGAAGACCCCTGTTCTAAGAGTTAACCTAAGTGATTGATAGTTACAGAACAGGGGAATAACAGATTTGGAAGGAAGCTTGGAGGTATTCTTTCTAGTCCAATCCCCTGCTCGGGCAGGAGACAAGAGAGAGAGAGAGAGAGAGAGAGAGAGAGAGAGAGAGTGATGCACAGAGAAAGAGAGAGACAGAGAAGCAGAGAGAGTTATCTGTTCATAACAGGATCACGAGAGAAATCAGCATGTATGAGTCACTTAACCTTCATAGGAGTTTCAAATGTCTTTTACAAAGGAGGCATCTTCTCTTTGCAAGGACTTGTCCCAGCCGCTGCCAGGACTCAACACTGACTTGAAGGCACAACACACACACACACACAGCTAAATTAAGAATGAGCATGACCAGTAGTTATAGAATGTAACAAGCAAATTGGAAAGCAAGCAGTAAATTGGGATGTGTATGTATGTCTGTGTGCAGAACACTGAAAAAGCGATTTTTCAGTAGTAAACTGATGGGACCATTTTATTAGAAAGAAAAAATACATTGTGGTATTTAACTGTAGGTCTTACTGCTATTTTTAAGGAGTATGCTATCTCTTTACAGTGGGATGGAAAAACTGAGGCCCTCCAAGTATTGCTAAACTACAATTTTCAACCATCTCTCTTACAGGTGATGAAGAGAGAATTGAATAGTCAGCCCTTGATGTATTTTCCAAAGCCAACTTTCTAAAAAGTATAAAAAAAAAAACCTAAAGAAAATGTCCTTTACTTAGGAAGTAGAATTCCTGCAAAACTGTAAACAGTGCTATTCTATTATCCAAATTACAAGAAGAAACTAATATCTATTCCACTAGCATACTTCTTTGCATCAGTTACACAAGTCATAGGATTCAGCTTTTCTGAATGCAGTGCTAATTTATATAAAGATTATACAGAGTATACATAATGAAAAGTATTGTCCCTGGGGAAAGATTGACAGATGCTGTTAATGAGTGGCAAGGTTCAAACTTGAGACTTTAAAGGGAATTTTATGCAGTGTGAAATTTTGCACTGGAGACAGAAAGCACTCCAAAGAGAATATATTAATTAAGTATACATGCTTAAGCCTGAGACCCACAACTGTGAGCCCGTAGGCCAAATTGACAATTGCCTGTCTTTCTCTGAAGCTGGAAGCGAAAGAAATACGATTTTTGGTAGCAGAAGAGCCATAGATTGCTTAAAAAGGTTGAGATCTAATGTTGATCTCCTACCATAACCATCACCCCCTAGCCTCTGTTCTAAATAGGGCTCTCCAGGAAAACATGCTGCAGATAAGAGAGATCAAGGGGCATTGGAATTGGTCAACCATGCCTGCTCCTCCTCTCCTTATTTCTCCATATGGATCAGCTTGCTCTCCATGACTGTCCCAACCGTTGATGGCAAGTCATTATGGCTAATGCACTCATCTGCAAAAGTTCACTGATAATACAGCCCCCTTACCAGGGCTGCAGGAGTCTCCATAAAAATAAGGCAGGACTCCAATCATACCATCACAATGATGATCATGATTTATTTTTGCCCCACCCCTTTTGGCTGCATTGCCAAGGATGGCAGAAGAGCATCTGCATGAAACCCAACCAGTAGATTTTATTTCATCCAGCTCACTCCCCAGGGAAGCCATTTCTATTCAGTGACATTTAAGCTAATGATCTTCTTCCTGAATGATGGCACTTCGTAGTCTGCAAATACCTTGGGATCAATCTTCTGACTCTGCTCAGGGACTAGAGATTTATTTATTTATGTAACAAGTACACAGGAATGTTTGCTGTCTGGTGCTCACCTAGCAACTGGCAGAATCGATAGCCCCCATATTTTACCCAACCAGGGAACAAAGTGGCTTGTTCTTTCAGTCCTATTTGGGCATGACTTGTAATCACAATAATTCTCAAGAACAAGTCGCAGTTTTCATTCTTCTGCAGGGTCTGGCTCCATTGTCAAGATTTTTCAGCTACCCAAAATAAGACATTCAACTCGCATTGGTGCGACTGATTCCAATGGATCCCGAGAACTGGGCCACAAGAGTTATTGAATGGGAGATCCATCAGCCCAGTCACCTCTCTCACCCCATCTATCCCACAGGACTGTGGATGGATATAATAAATGGAAATCCACCTTGAACCTTTGGAGAAAAGGTGATAAATGTAACTGATAAGTAATATAAGAATAAATAAAACGTACTTCCTGGAAGCTATGCAAGGGACATAAAAAAGCAAATAAAACTTTAATTGATTTTTTTTTTCCTCATACTTTGTGGAAGAAAACAGTGCCAAGCCACTGCAATTTTGCTGACAATAAAGCAATGACGACACCTCCTATGACAAGAATCCAGCTTAAGACAGACTTCACTTTCTGATCTGACAGTTTATTCAGATGAGGAGTGGGCAATTTCCACTGGATCAGTGGGTGGGGGCACAGTTGAGTCTCCCAACATTTGAAAAACAGAATAACAGAGTTGGAAGGGACCTTGGAGGTCTTCTAGTCCAAATCCCTGATCAAGCAGCAGTTAGAGTGCAGTACTGCAGGCCACTTTAGCTGACTGTGTTCAGCAGGTCAGCGGTTCAAATCTCACCGGCTCCAGGTCGACTCAGCCTTCCATCCTTCCGGGGTAGGTAAAATGAGGATCCAGATTATTGGGGGCAATGTATATATATATATATATATATATATATATATATATATATATATATATATATATATATATATATATATATACATTGCTTACTGGTGTACACCGCTTAGAGAGTGCTTGCACTTAAAGCGGTATATAACTCTCATAAATAAATAAATAAATAAATAAATAAATCTTATACCATTTCAGACAAGTGGCTGTCCAGTCTTGTCTTAAAAACCTCCAGTGATGGAGAACCACAACTTCTGAAGGCAAGTCATTCCACGTTAGGAAATTTCTCCTTACTTTTAAGTTGCTTCTCTCCTTGATTAATTTCTATCTATTGTTTCTTGTCTTACCTTCTGGTGCTTTGGAAAATAGTTTGACTCCCTCATCTTTGTGGCAGCCCCTCAGATATTGGAACACTGCTATCATGTCGCCCCTAGACCTTCTTTTCACTATACTAGACATACCCAATTCCTGCAACCATTCTTCATGTTTTATCCTCCAGCCCCCTAATCATCTTTGTTGCTCTTCTCTGCACTCAATACCTTTTCTATAATACCAGTCTCAATACCATTTTTTATAATATAATACCAGTCTCAATACCTTTTTTATAATTTGGTGACCAAAACTGCATGTAGTATTCAAAGTGTGAATTTGAAACAAATAGAGGAGAACATCTGGAAATGCAGTGATATTGCAGGCATTTTTCAACTTGTTCTGGATCAGTTTTCTGGTGGGAAGTCATGGATGGGATAGGAAGGGGAAGGACTATTCCTTGGAAGGTACCCTGCACTAATTCCTAAGGCTGCCCTAAAAGTATGGGGTACAACCAAGTTGTACCCCATACTTTTAGCCACTTGCTGTCAAATTCTGGCAGCAATCTAGAGGTGCTGGGAAAATGCTAGTGGCCCGAGAGCTTCCCACTTCTGCTGTACATGCACCCAAGGGACAAAAGTTGCATTCTGCATACCATTCACAGGATTGGGGCCCACATTTCCAGAGCTGTTCTGTTTGGCGTTCTCATGCAGCAGTTGGAACCAGTCCCGCAGTCGATCGCCCAGGTCTGCCAAGTCTTGTCCAGTGCAGGTTTCTGCAAATCAGTTGGCAGCATCTCAAGTGAGCATCCCGGATGGGAAGATAGCAAGCAGGTTAGTCCAAAGTTACTGTACGCAACTCCTTCTTAGGATTTTCCCACACACAATTATTCAAAACTTTGTTTTGTCCATGGCGATAATGAGAGCATGAGATTTCTTATCTATACAATAAATTCTCAGGGTTAGGGTAGGAAGAGAAGAATACAGAGGAAAAATTCTCTAGAGCTGCAATGAAATTGAGCTAAGAATCACAAGAAGTGACTCACCTTCTTTAATCTGGTGACAGAAAATTGCAACAAAACGTATCTTTATGGATCTCACGAGGAGGGGAAGGAGGATCTATTAAAGCTGAATGTCTCTTAAATCTTAATCTATATAATTTATGTCATCTGTTCATTAGTGAATGATGCAAATTGATGCAAAAGATGTAAATTAGATCAGTGGTCCAGACTGTTCCAAAAACACTGGACCTTGATCATTATTTGGCAGCACTCTGAATCCAAAGCTAACATTATGTCTGTTGTATCTGAAATCTGCCAGGAAAAGATCCATAAAATCAAGATTTTATTATCACGCTAAGACTTCACTTATTGTTATTATGTACTGTATATATTTGTGTATAAGCCCATCCGCACATAAGATGATCCTCAAATTTTTAACCAAAATATCATGAAAAATGCACCACCTGTCAATAAGTTGACGAACATTTTTCATTGCACTTTGGTTAAAAATGTGAGGGTTTACTTATTTGAAGATGGGCTTATATGCAAATATATATGGGATATACAGGTAATTTTAAAAAGTATTACTGGTATGAGGTATATTCAGTTGCAAGAATTTTATATGCCCAGAAATGGAAAGAAGTGTTAATCCCCACCATGGAGGAATGGATTGAAAAGATGATGGAACTGACAGAGATATCCGCTTTAATTAGGGACAAAAAGGTAAATAATTTTGTGGTTATTTGGAATCCACTTATGGAATTTCTGTGTGACAGAGGGGGAAAAATGAAATTTTGACTTTGGGTTTTGACAATTAAGTGGGTTATGTTATAGAAATGGCTAGTGGTTATTATTTGGCATAACTTAAAATACTATAAGATTAAAATACTATAGTAAGATATACTATATATATCTTACTGCACCGAAAAAACTCAGAAATCATTGCTTTTTGTTTCTTTTTGAAATGTCTTTTTCTTCCTTCCCTCACTTTATCTCCTCTATTTCCTTTCCTTTCCTGTTTTTCCATTGTCTTTATTTCTATTTATATTTTATATTGAGGGGAAAAATCCTTTAATCGTGTATGTTTATCATATGCATATTGCATGTACATACAGAATTACTATATATAATTGCAGGTAAGCTGAATCCTATTTTTGGGGTGTATTTTGGCCCCTAAAATTCTTAGCTTGCTCACAAATATTTATGGTAGGTTATGAGGATTTTGTGTGTTACAACTAACAAATTTTATTGTATGAAGTTGAGGGGATCTCCTGATTCTTATTTGCTTATCTTTTGTTGCTTGAATTACAATTGAACTCCAGATACTATAAACCTAAAACCACAAATTTAGTGGTTTGAATCTCTGCTTTAATGCTTTTCTTCTGCTTATTCTCCTAGTCAGTTTGCAACAAAATTATATGGTAAATCATCCCCATGTTGCCAGTTAAATAATGTTGATCTTATCCTCAAATTATCTACTCTGTTTATTACTGGAAGACTGACTTCATCTATATTCAGATGGTGATATTATGCAGGATACCAACCAATATATAGAGCAAAGAATGTCTTGTGGAGGCAGAAAGGATCAGCCATGGAATATAGTTCAATACCTAATTTAACAGTGTTCTTATTTATTCTGTGTGTCTATAGAGCAGTGTTTCTCAACCTTGGCAATTTTAAGACGTGTGGACTTCAACTTCCAGAATCCCCATTCTGGCTGGGGGATTCTGGGAGTTGAGGTCCACACATCTTAAAGTTGCCAAGGTTGAGAAATACTGCTCTACAGAGCCATAATGTGGAGAACAGGAGAGGATACAATTGTTCACATTCTTAGTAGACATTGCTTGTCTGACCTTGCTTGAGATCAGTGGCTGAAGTTGGACCATGTTCACTTGTGCATGGGCACTGACCCTCACACTTCACTGTCAACTGCTTGCTGGTCAGACAGGCCTGCTGTTCCAGTTTACACTGTAAAAGAGAAACAGAAAAGTCACATGAGCAAGAAGCACGAGGCCATCAAATAAGAATGACTTCAAGGTAGGGGACCTTGCTGATTCTCTTATAAAGTCTGTCAGGATCACCTTAGTCTCAACTCACGTGATCCTCTAATGCCCAGATTATAAACCCTGAGATACTGTATCATATCTAAATTCTAGAACAAGATAAAGATTTAATGCCACAGCTAGAAAGTCATGCATAAGCATGTAACAGATTATTTTTAATCATCCTTGTTGCTAAATCTTTCTACTATAAAATACATTCATTGTATTTAGGCTGACACAATATCAATGTACTGATGCACATAGAAATATAAATGTTTATAGTTGATAATTTACCTATACCACTAATTCAATAGATCTTACAAATAGTCCTACTAAAATATGTCTGCCTCTGGATTCATTCTTAGAACACAAAGAGACTTCTCTTCAACAAGACTAGCTCATTTCTGCTGCAGGAAACCGACTACACTACAACATCATCTTCAGCTTAAAAACGTTCGTGAAAAACAGCCCGCCATCTTTTGAAGTAGATTGCTCAATTAATGGCCGGCTCATATTCTTCCTGAGACTATTGTATTGTTTCTTTGCAGTCGGGATGTCTACATTGTTTGCTGTCATCAGTGTACACCATACTGTGTAATGTATTTCTGTAACAAGATCAAGGCATAGCCAGCGGTGGGATTCAAATACCTGAACAACCGGTTCTCTGCGTGGATGCAGGCCTAGGCCTCTGAAGCCTGGAACGGACTTCTGGAAGCAGTGTGCATTCAACCAGTTCTCCGAACTCAACAAAATTTAGCTACTGGTTCTCCTGAACCAGCCCGAACCGGCTGAATCCCACCACTGGGCATAGCCTTTGCAGTCCAACTCAGAAATATGCCAATAGAAGAGAATCTTTGTAACTCAGGGTTGACCTGTGAGATTTTTAGAGCTCTTTTACTTGGTTCTTTTCCTGTAGATGTTTCATTACTCAACTAGATAGCATTATCAGTACTAAGAAATATACTCCTTCATGATTTCTGTAATTTAGTTTGCCCTTCATTTCTTTGGGAATGTAAGCATACCTCTTGGATCTAAGCACCTGAATGGGTTTTCAATCAGGCACTAGTGGCCTACTCAATATTGTCTATAAGTCTTTATGAATAGTGACAAAGTTTTTGTATATTCTATTTATGATGTTATATTATTGGCTACAGTGGCCAAGCACAATATAATAATAAAAATAATTAGTACGCAAAATCTTAAGATTTCCTCCAAATTTATTGCTCACTCTGGCCACATACCCATTGCGCTTTGTAATTTTTTTTCCTTTTGGTAATAATTGCATTTATCAGGTCTTTTCTTCCCTCCAGCTTTGAGCTACAGTGAGTGGAAGCTCTTGACAGGAAATTCCAAGTTAGTTGGAATAGCTTTTGCTCTTTGAACATATATCATTTTTTTTCTTTGTAAACTGTTCCTTGCTATATATTATAACAGTGAATAGTATTTATATGTTATTTATATGTTACTTATACTGTATGTAACGGTCTAGGTCTATACATACATTGCATATAGTATGTTTTAAATGTGTGTTATATATGTGTACACTTTGAGAGGAAGCAACTAAATTTCATTTTTAATGTGTGCCATTGTGCCCACAGGAAAAAATGACAATAAAGGTTATCTATCTATCTATCTATCTATCTATCTATCTATCTATCTATCTATCTATCTATCTTTCTTTCTTTCATGTTGTACACCAGAGCCTTCATGGAGTTGGTAGCTTCATTAAATTGACAAATAAACAAATAAATGAACAAACATATTTTGAAAAATCATCTACAAATGCCAGGAAAAAAAATTCCTTCTAGTTATCGTTATAGGAAAGAGACCCCACAAAGGTCACTGTATATATTGAAGAGCTCCTTTGACTGTCTTTTTGTATAAGGTGAATAAGCATCCTTGCCTGCATTTGCTTTAATACAATTGATACACCCAAATTCAGAGCAGCAGGACTTCATTGTAAAACTTTCTTTCATCAATTCTGAAATATATTCAATATTTCTGTGGCAGTGTCAGCAATGCCACAGACCCATACAGTCCTTGACAGAGGTGGAGGGGGGGAGAGAGAAATCTCAAAACAATTCTTGGTTCTTCATTTTTGAAAATGAAGCAATGTTCTGAAACAAATGCCTTGTGGCTCTTTTTATATTCATAATATGATTTTCCACAAGTTTAACTAAATAGTTCCTTCACCCTACATCTGAATGTGATTGATCACCTTTGGCAAGATCATTTGGGGCTTTACAACTCACCACTACATCTGAAAAAGTCTAGATTGTTAAACAAACGGGAAGAGGTCCAAGTACCCACAAAGATCTTTATAAATCAATTCTCAACTGATTCTGTATTTCTTGTGACTTTCTTTTGTTCTGTGTCAGCATTATTACTATTCTTACGCATATTTATGCATTGTCCAAACTTAAACTCAAGGTTGTTTACCAACAAAAAGCATGAACATTTCTAAAACATACATCTGAGGCTTTACTGTCCAGCAATATATCAGAAGAGTAACACAGTTGTCCTCCTTCAATATTTTTGACAATATGGAACGTTCTTCACTCAGACTTTATAAATTCCAGGGGCAGATTGTACGGGAAGGATTTAGTAGCAGGCTGCTTTTTTGATCCTGTTACGGCTTTATTATTTAAATTTCAAGCCACGAGGAACTCAAAGCAAGACATAATGAATCTTCTTAAAAATTAATCTTCCCAAATGAAATGTCTTGCTGTGTCCCCTATTTGGATCGAATCGCACTAAGGCTTCCCAACGTTCGTAGATGCATAATTACAAACTGAACTGCTCCTTTCCTGCAAGCTATAAACACATCTGCCAGTCATTGATTGACCTGAGCATAAGCATTTTAATAAGTTATGATGCCCTGAGGGTGGGTGTCAGACCTAGAAAATGACAAGTAAGTTACACTGAATGAGGTGGTAGATGTGTTCCATAGGACAAAACACTGCTTATATGGGATGTATGGGAAGACGGGCCTCTGCTGGCTGCAGGGATATTTATTTATGTATTTATTTCTTATTTATTTATTTAGATCCCTACATAAATATTTATTTATTTTCTATATAATTCAAGGTGGCGTACATACCTGGTCCTCGACTTATGACCAAAATTGAGCCCAAATTTTCTGTTGCTAAAGTGAGACAGTTGTTCAGAGAATTCTGCCCCATTTTATGCTCCGTTCTTAAGTGAATCACTGTAGTTGATAAGTTAGTAACCCAATTGTTAAGTGAATCTGGCTTCCCCGTTGACTTTGCTTGTCAGAAGGTCACCAAAGGGGATCCCTTGACCCCAGGACCCAGCAATCACCCAGCTGGCTTTCATGCCTAAGACAGGACTAGAACTCAGAGTCACCCCATTTCTAGCCTGGTAGCTTAACCACCAGATCAAAAAGTTTCTGACATATGGCCAAGCAGTATGCAGACCTTGTCTGCCTAAAATGCTTGTGTACTAAGGTGTTTTTAATTCAGGGGAAAAAAAAGAACAAGAAAGAGACATTATAAAAATAATATTATAGTGTGAAGGAAGCAGGTATCTGCTCTATTTTGAAACATATACGAACTGGTGAGCATGAAAGTATCATGATCCTTTGTCTGGTTGAAAACAATCTTCAGCCCCATAAAAAGTAATCCAATGGTTGCTTTGGTCAATCGCTGATTATAATGAGCTTTAATTAGACTGGCATGGCCCAGCTTGATATACTGTAGGAGTTCAACGTATCTGGGTCTTTGCTTGTGGTAGAAAGAATACGCTAATTTTAGTTGTCCATCGGGGGAAGATAATTCTTCACAAGAGACTCCATATTGATAGCAGGAGTTAAAAGCTTATCCCCTCACTCCCTTAGCCAGAAGGGAAAAAAATAGGCCAGCACATCACAGTGGGGTTATCCAAATAAGCTTTGATTCGGGAAGTCCCGTTTTGAGGCGGATTGTCCTGAATATAATGTAAGGCATGCAAAAAACTTTTTTTCCCCAGCATTCTAAGTATACTCCTGCATCATTATTCAAGATATCTGCTTTGCCCAAAAAATTCTGGCAATGTTTTATTGCTACCATGTTTTCCCCAAAATAAGACCCAACCAGAAAATAAGCCCTAGCATAATTTTTCGGGATGCTCATAATATAAGCCCTACCCTCAAAGTAAGCCCCAGTTAAGATTGTCAGCCAGACGGACACATTTAGTACTGTATTTTCCCAAAAATAAGACCTAACTGGAAAATAAGCCCTAATGTGTCTTTTGGAGCAAAAATTAATATAAGACCTGGTCTTATTTTTGGGGAAACATGGTATCCATCTACTTGAAAAGAATTAGCTTTACCTATGATGTATTCCAGTTAAACAAATCTATTTTTAATTGTTGCTATCACCCCCAAGGGATGATGTTTGTCATCTTGATGCCAACATATGAACACAAACTCCTTTTTTTCTAATCAAGATCACTCATGGTCATTGGCAATTTTCCCCTACAAAATTGAAGACATCTAAAGGAGTTATATCCCCTCCCCCACTTTATATATTATTACAATGTATAATTCTTTACACTGCTTATCTCTTGACAAAAGAACCATAATTGTTATTATAAGCAAAAATACAATAGGTGTTATGTGGTTAGCGTTAATATTATTGCGTAACACCAGTTCTGGTATCTCTGCTACTATCAAAGTAATCATTTATTTAGCAGTGATAAAGTGACAAGTGCTTCACGTTTTTGGATGTCAAAAGGTCCTCCCAAGTTTCAGAGCACAGAAGAAAACTTCAAATATCAGTTCTCTTGAGCTTACTTTCTCATCAAATAGGACTTAACAAGCGATAGAACCAAGCTTTCCAAATGACCAGGAGCTTGTGACAGACAGATCAAGTTGATTTATTACATTTATATATCACTTTTCCTCCTGGGATGACATTTTTACTCTTAAAGCAACTTTGTGAGCATGCTGGCCCAGGAGAAAACATTTGATCCAATTTCAGACATAAACAATTGGTACAGCAACTGCCACAGGAAACTGCAAATTCAATGGGCCGCTCTCTAAACCACTGTAAATTGAAAGGTTGTGGTAATTTGTTATCAGGATGTCAATGCTCCCTTCCTCTCATTTCTGGGCCTTCAAAATGCAGCTGAGCTGCAGAAATTAAACAGATTAAGCTTTTCCTTAATATTCTACAGCTGCTAAGAATTAAGATTAGCTAGAGTTTTGATTCCCCTCATCAAAACCCATACATCTAGTAGTGGATATGTAAAAATAGCCTGCTGAAAGAAGTAATTTGAACATTATTTCAGGGTAACTTCAGGATGGTTGCGAACGGAATGAGACAATGCAATTAGTGCATGGTCAGGCAATCTGGAGCCTCCAGGTATTTTGAATAACAATTTCCCAAATTCCTCTAACACAGGGGTGTCAAGCTGCCAGCCTGCGGGCCGGACGTGTCATCTGGAAGCCACGCCCACCCCATTGCCGGCAATGGCAAAACCGTCCCGATACGTTGTGCGACGTCACGTGACGTCGCGAATTTGACATGTCTGCTCTAACATGTTAGTCAAGAGTGGTGAGAATTGAAATCTAAACACCTTGAGAATAGTGAGGGTTTTTTTCCCCTCCCTTTGGGCATTTTCTCCAGCCAAATGTATCTCACAGAGGTGGTTGTGAGGGTGAAAGAGATAGGCAAAGAAATGGACAGGAGCGATAAGAATAACACATGACTCTGTTAAAAACGGAATGCTTTACCCATACAAAGTGTTTACATACTTAGCTCTAGAATGGAATTCCAACTGATGGGCCACTGCAACAGGCCTCTACAGGTAGTCCTCAACTTACAATCGTTCAAAGTTACAAGGGTATTGAAAAAAGTGACTTATGACCATTTTTCACACTTACAACCATTGCAGCATCCCCAGAGGTGCATGATCAAAATTCAGGTGCTTGACAACTGTTTGATTTTTATGATGGTTGCAGTGTCCCGGGATCACATGATGCCCTTTTGGGTCTTCTGGTAAGCAAAGTCAATAGGGAAGCCACCGAGTTACTAGCTTAACAGATGCAATGATCCACTTAACAATTGTGGCAAGAAAGATCGTAAAATGGGGCAAAACTCACTTGGCAAGTGTTTCACTTAGCAACATACACTTTGGGCTCAATTGTCCTCGTAATTCGAGGACTACCTGTACATGCAAAAGTTCAGATCCTCTCACTGATCCCAAGAAAAACCTCCAATCTGTTATAAAGTAGGCTGATTCTCTGAAAACCCAAAGCGCTCTCTCTCTCTCTCTCTCTCTCTCTCTCTCTCTCTCTCTCTCTCTCTCCCTCTCTCTCTCTCTCCCTCTCTCCTCCCCATCCCTGCTTATTTTCAGTGCCGAATATGGTTTTCTTCCTTACCACAGAGCTGTAAGTATGGCCGTCGGAGCCACAGACGGAGGCAAGCTGGGTCATGTGACAGGGTTTGCACAAGTTCTCCTTGTTTCCATGGAGCTTCACGGCAGGCTGTTTGATTCTGTGCCGGTGCACCAGACAGAGAGAAAAGAAAAAGAGCAACACACATTAAAGCATGGCCAAGATCAACTTCTCTCCTCGAGATTTAGGGAAGGTGAAATTCCCCTCAATTCACAGTCTGGAGGAGGAAGCTCCAGGAAGGGCACAGAGGATCTTACTGATGACCTCCAAGGTCCCTTCCATCATCATCATCATCATCATCATCATCATCATCATCATCATCATTATGGATCATCGCACAGTCAGCCAGATGTTCAGACTGGATTTGGCATTTTGTCTACCTATCGAGTCCTTACCCAGACCTGGGATAGGCAGATGTGGATGTTTGATGGTATTACAGGTATCGTTGCAGGATGGAAGCAGTTCCTAGTAAGGCTGCCTTTTGCAATTGACTAATAGCAAATTTGTCAATGCCAATGGTGTTCAAGTGGTGCTCCAGTTGTTTTGGGATTGCACCCAAGGCGCCTATGACTATTGGTACTACCCTTGCTTGCTTTTGCTACAGTCTTTCTATTTCTATTTGTAGGTCTTTGTATTTTGTTATCTTCTCCAGTTCTTTTTCGTCTATTTTGCTGTCTCCAGGCACTGCCACGTCCACTATCCAGACTTTGTCTTTTTTATCGACAATTGTTAAGTCTGTATTATTATTATTATCATTCATCGCACAGTCAGCCAGATGTTCAGACTGGATTTGGCATTTTGTCTACATATCGAGTCCTTACCCAGGACCTGGGATAGGCAGATGTGGATGTTTGATGGTATTACAGGTATCGTCGCAGGATTATTATTATTATTATTATTATTATTATTATTATTATTATTATTATTATTATTACTACTATTACTGCAATGTTAACACCCTTGAAGAGAAGTCACCAAGGGCTGTCTTTTCCCAACCTGGTGCTCTCCAGAGGTGTTGTGAGTACAGCTTCACAGATTCCCAAGCAGCATGAAAATGGGAATTATGGAGGCTGTAATCTCGACACCTCCAAAAGACATCAGGTTGACTAAAGGTGTCTTTTGGAACTGAAGAGAACAGACATATACCAAGGGAAGTCTTTCATAGCAGCAGTGAAAGGCAATGATTTGTCTCTAAGCTCTCAACCACATGATTTAATCATGGTGGAAGAGACAAGGCTGCCTTTAAGGAGAAAGAAAAGGCAAGTGAACTTGGTTGAATGAGTCTGGAAGTCCATGTGAAGCAGCAGAAGGCGTCTCCACTTGCCACGGAACAATTCAATTCTTTACTAATCATTTCACTCAATTACTTTTATTATATCAGTGACCACGTTTTTGTTGAAATTATTGTAGCTCTTGTATTTCTGGATTGACTTTCTTTATTTTACTATTATTGGCCACGGTTCTGCCAAAATTAATTCAACTTTTGTATTTGTTGAATTGTCCCACAATGAGTTGTCCTACTGGCAAGTTAGCCATGGCAAGTTGACCTCAGTGAGTTGGCTGTGGAGAGTTGATCCATTCTGTGTCTCAGCCATGGGTAAAAGTGTGCAGCACACAGCTTTCTTTCTCTCTGATTTTTTCTCCCTTTAACTTTAAAAAGATGTAAGATGAGAGGTTGGCATTCCTTTTATTTATGCAGGACAGGATATGGCACTATTTGATTTCCTTGATCAGTAAAAGTATACATGCTCCTAGATTCCAAGGCAGGGAGAGCAACAGCAGTAGATGGCAAACATCATTAACACTTTTTATCAAACAGAAGGAATAACTTTGAACTTCTCCCAATCTTGGTTCCTCAGAAGTTAGGCATCAAAAGAGGTCTAGAAAGTACAACTTCCTACTACCTCTTCTAAGTCATCCAGGGGGATGGGACCAAAAATATCAGTCCGCTGATTTGAAGTGGGAAGGGAGGGTTTAAGAGGCATAAAATTTGGCACTTGAGATACTGTGCTAACTCTTGACTTGGCTAATGCTGCCTACAACCTAACCCTAACCCTAAGGAATGATGAAATAGAAATCCAACATCATCTATAAACCCAGAATTCATTCATCCATCCATCCATCCATCCATCACATTTCTACCCCACCCATCTCGCCCAAGTGACACTGAATTGGGACCAGTGATTCTCTTACTTTCCCTCTCTCTTTTCTATATATCTTTATTAAATTTCAAAATCAAACATTAAAATGCAAATTCACATAAAAGGGCAAGAAAACAGTAAAACAAATTAAAAGTGGCCAAAATATATCAAATAAACTTATAACAAAAATGACCTGCCACTTTGTTTTATTATAGACATAATAGCAGGGCGACAACTTCTCACTAAGTTTGAACAAATAATAAAATCTTTTAAAAACCTTAAAGTATTAATAATATTCTTCTCTTAATTTTCATCTAACACATAAAAAGTTGTTAAGTGTAAATAACCTTATGTTTAAAAAGCTACAATATTTCTCTGGACAAATCCAATCTGATCCTCAAATCCCAAAGTCAAGAGTTGATTTTTTTTTTCTCCTTGCCCTGACCAATGATTCTCAACCTTCTCAAATCCATGGTACAATATTTGATATAGCAGGAGTTCTGTGTTACACCAGAAAATTACTAATTGTATATATGTTTTTTTAATTGGGTAAGATACAGTTCAGGAGGAAGATATACATTTTCTAAAATATCTGCATTGTATTGAATATATGGATTATATAGAACAGTGATGGTGAACCTTTTAGAGACCGAGTGCCCAAACTGCAACTCAAAACCCACTTATTTATCACCGGGTGCCAGGTGGGCATGTCCCACTGGGTGGGCGTGGCTGTGGTGGTCATGGCAGACTGGGTGGGTGTGGCCAAGGTGGGCATGATCACCTTGATGTTGCTCATGGGGAGGGATGCATGTGGGGGCCGGGCAGGGTTGGGGGAGATCCAGGGGGTCTCTGGCAGGTGGGGCGGTGGGCAGGAGGCTCATCCTGCGGGGTGAGGTGAGGCAAGGTGAGGCAGGGCGGGGGTGCCATTGTCGCAGGGCAAGGCAAGGTGAGGCAGGGGCCGGGGTGGCTGTTGCCTGACACCAACGGCCCCCACACACAGAGGCCAGCGAGCACATGGGTACTGGGATGCATCCGGCCACGTGGGACCTTGGCGAGTTAGCAGGTGACTGGTTGAAGAGGGATAGTTGCCATCTCTGGGGCATTGTGCGCGTGCTCACAGAGAGGGCTCTGAGTGCCATAGGTTCGTGTGCCATGGGTTCGCCACCACTGATATAGAACATACATAATACAAAACAAAAATTGAAAAAAATAACACAAGACAAAAATATCCTGGCACACAAGAAACAATCCCATGCCATACCTGGAACACACAGGTTGAGAACTACTGGCCTAGACAAGGGGTCTACAACCTTGATAACTTTAAGACTTGTGGATTTCAGTTCCCAGAATTCCTCAGCCAGTTGTCAAGATTTGTCTTCAAATGCAGCCCTTTTATGACAGCATAGCTGAGGAATTCTGGGAGTTGAAGTCCATGAGTCATAAAAGGGCTGCATTTGAAGACCCCTGGCCTAAGACTATTGTATGAAGGAATTGGCTATTTCTGCATTGAATATCAGTAGCTCCACCTTTTCTCGAGTGGCTGTGAATCCAACTGGCCTTAAAATGTCTGATTACAGGTAGTCCTCGATTTACTAACACATCCAAAATTTCTGTTGCTAAGCAAGAATGTTGTTAAGTTAGTTTTGCCCCATTTTATGACATTGTTTGCCACAGCTGTTAAGTGAATCACTGTGCTTGTTAGTAACATGGTTAAGTGAATCTGGCTTCCCCGTTGACTTTGCTTGTCGGAAGGTTGCAAAAGGGGATCACAGGACCCTGGGACACTGCAACCACCATAAATGTGAGTCAGTTGCCAAGCATCCAAATTTTGATCATGTGACCATGAGGATGCCACAATGGTCGTAAGTGTGAAAAACAGTCAGTACTGTTGTGACTTTGTACGGTCACTAAGTGAACTGTTGTAAGTCGAGGACCTCCTGTATATAAAAAAATATCCGAATAGCCAAATCACCCAGTCAGGGATTAATGTATAAATTAATGGATTTCCTTACCTGTGCTCCAGTTTTTTGCGACTGATGCACATGGCCCTCTGGTAACCCTGGGCAATGCACACCTTATGCCGGCTGCATTTGATCTTCTGGCAAGGATCTTTTGTAGTGTCCAGACCTAAAGCAAGAGACAAAGAGAACATGTGTCATCCTACACTAAGTTTAGGATCCAAAATATCACTCGTCCTAACAGAATAACAAAGTTAGAAGGGATCTTGGAGGTCTTCTAGTCCAACCCCCTGCTCGGGCAAGAATCCCTGTATCATTTCAGACAAATGGTTGTCCAATTTCTTCTTTAAAACCCTTAATCTTGGAACATCCATGACTTCTGGAGGCAAGTTGTTCCACTGATTAATTGTTCTAACTGCAAGGAAATTTCTCCTTAGTTCTAGGTTGGTTCTCTCCTTGATTAGTTTCCATCCATTGCTTCTTGTCCTGCTTTCTGGTGCTTTGGAGAATAGGTTGACCTGCTTAATCTTTCCTGGAGCACCTTCACCTAGACTGTTGTCTAACATACTGCAGGCAATCCTAATAACATAGTCAGCAGCATCATCATTTTAGCCATTGTCTATTGCAGGATGAAGGTCTCTTCCACATGTTAACAACCAACATGGTCCCGAGCTTCCTTTTGCCAATTGGGCCCTCAATACTTGCTGATGTTGTTGATCTGTCTTGTTTTAGGTCTCTCTCCTGGGCTCTTTTTATCAAGTGGGATCCATTCTATGACTGCCTTGGTCCACCTGCCATTGGTTCTTCTTGCTAAGTGACAGCCCATTTCCACTGCAATTCTTTTACTCTCTTGATGATTTCATATATACTTTCGTTTCTTCTCTAATCCATGTGCAGGTCTTTCTATCTTGTCTAGTGATGCTGAGCATGTATCTTTCCATGGCTCTTTGCGCCACTCATAGCTTTTGTATCAATGATAAGGTTAATGTCCATGTTTCCCTAGCATATATTAAGAGCAGGTAGTACACACTGATCAAAAACTTTTCTCTTACAAATTGGGGGGAGGTTCTTGAAAATTATGGTAGGCTTGCCGAATGCCTGCCAACCACATTTAGCACACCATTCAATTTCCTTTAATATATCACTTTCCACTGAGATCCATTGGCCAAGATATATCTAGTGGTCTGTTACATCTAGTGCTGTTTTATACAACAATCTCAGGAACTGGAAGTCACTTTATATTTGATTTAAAAATGGTCTGACTGTCAAATGTGTTTTCTTTTTCTAACACCCTGGCTGCTATTTAATATTCAAATGATGCACCCACATTTATTCATTCATGTGTTGAATTTATATCCTGTTCCTATTTCAATATCAGCTAACATGCTGTGGAGGAAATTGCATTTGTTCAGTGTAGAAGATGTCAAGGACTTGCATTCGCTAGCTGAGTGCACTTCTGAATATTTGGTTAATAAGTAAATAAGCGGATCCACATCCTTACATGGAGATGCTCACTCACAAATCCAAAGGTTTCTTAGTTTTGCACAGAGCAAATATCTGGAAACCACTGTTTCTCAAACTTGGCAACCTTAAGAAGTGTGGACTCCAATTCCCAGAATTCCCCAACCAGTAAATTTCTCAAGTTTGAAAAACACTATTTTATATTGACATATTTCTTTGTGGTCAAGCATTTGCTGAATCACAATATTGGAAAGTCATGAATTCTTATATGATTCCCACCAGAATTAATGTAAGAGGATCTGTTGCATTGTTTCCCATCTGCAATCATAACCCATTTGATAGTTCAGATTTTTTTTTTTAAAAAAAAAGGAAACAGTAACTATAGATAAACGCCAAACCACCTTGAGCGTAGCCATGAACATCTCAATATGGATCTGTGACTTTTAGGCTCAAAATTTAAGCAATCATAATGATTGAAGGCAAACGAGGTCCAGGCAGAAAAAGAATATAATGGCTTCAAAATCTAAGGGACTGGTTTGGACTAAAATCAGTAGCACTTTTTCATGTGGCTACTGATAAAAACAGGATCGCCAACATGATTGCCAACGTCCAATAACGGATATAGCACAACAACAAGAAGAAGAATGATTCAGTCAAGAAATATAAGAAATTTGCTCTGATCCAGCAAGACTGATCTGTTTATCAGAAGTCTCCCAAAGGCATGTAGCCACTGACTGAGAGGACATACCTGCCACAGCATGACAGTGCTTATCCATAATATCATATTCTACTGACAGCACAAATCTCTTGAGGTGAACCAATACTTCTATTTGCAGGTCCTCCAGTTAATTACCCACAATAATTGCTAGATTATTTGGATCACAAACAATACTCAGATCTAGCTTTAGACTTCTCAGTTTCATTGGCAAAGTAAGAGAATTTGTCATTTTGTAGCCAGCAAATGTTAAAGGCACAGAAAGGCTGTCAGGCAGATGCTCTTGCAGAATTTTCTGAAGCTCAGGGGAAAAAAACTTAACATCCCACAAAAGTCAAGACATGTTTTAGATTGAACTGAATCTCATAAACTAAGAGGAATGAAAGGATTAGTGATTGAACGCTTCCTCTTAATTTTTGCCCTGGAAGTTTTTTGGTTTTTATTTTTTTAAAAAACAGGTACCAAGTCTGGCAATGCCGGTAATTGATGAGCCTAGACATTCTCACAGCTTGAATATATGAAGCTGTTTTGTACTGAGATAAATGCCTGGTCTGTCTAGTCTGTAAGATCTTCCACAATAATTTTTCTTTACCCAATAGATTTCTGTATGGAATAGAGCTCCCATCATCCTCAGCATCATGGTCAATCAGGTATCTAGGAATTTAGTTAGCCAGTCAACTAATGCTACTGCAGTTATACAATGTTGGACTTGAATCAGACTTGATTCTGATATTCCACCTTTATTGGGAACTTTCAAAATGGTTTATAAGCAATACATTATTCTTCTGGATCTGCCATAAAACCCAGAAACTAATAGAAGATGAAGCTGTCATCTGGAAGGCAAAGATAAAGTGGAAAGAGGGACACATAACTAAGTCAGAATATCAGCAAATAGCTCGAGCCTGCAAAGATGAAGTGAGGAAAGCCAAGGCTCATAATGAACTAAGGCTTGAGACCAAAGTCAAAAATAACAAAAAAAGCTTCTTTCAACATGTAAAAAACAAGAAAAAAGTGAAGGAAATGATTGGTCCATTAGTGGGTGAAAGTGGCAAGAAGGTGACAAGCAACAGGGAGAAAGCAGAACTATTTAACTCGTTTTTTGCAAATGTCTTTACACAAAGGGAAAAAACAGACCAACCTATCAAAAATAGTGCCATAAAAAAACAGAATAGAAACACAAGTTAAGATAGGCAAGAAAATGGTAAGTGAGCACCTGTCCAGCTAGATGAGTTCAAATCACCAGGACCAGATGGATTACACCCCAAGGTTCTCAAGGAACTGGCAGATGTGATCTCGGAATCACTGAACTATATTTTTGAAAGATCCTGGAACACAGGGGAACTACCAGAGGACTGGAAAAGAGCTGATGTAGTTCCCATCTCAAAAAAGGAAAAAAAATGGATCCAGGAAATTACAGACCTATCAGCCTGACCTCAATACCTGGGAAGATCCTGGAAAAGATAATCAAACAACGAATCAACGAACACCTAGAGGCAAACAAAGTTATTACTAAAAGCCAACATGGGTTTGTCAAAAATAGATCATGCCAGACAAATCTTATTACATTCTTTGACCAAGTGACAAAATTAGTGGATCAGAGGAATGCTGTGGACATAATTTACTTGGACTTCAGTAAGGCATTTGATAAAGTAGATCACAAACTACTACTTGACAAGATAGAAAAATGTGGGGTAGACAGAACCACCACCAGATGGATCCGTAGCTGGCTGACAGGCCGTACTCAGCGAGTGGTCCTCAATGGAACTGCATCTATATGGAGGGAAGTGTGTAGTGGGGTGCCCCAGGGCTCTGTTCTGGGCCCAGTACTCTTCAACATCTTCATCAACGATTTGGATGAAGGGATAGATGGGAACTCATCAAATTTGCAGACGACACCAAGCTGGCAGGAATAGCCAACACTCCAGAAGACAGGCTTAAGATACAGAAGGATCTGGACAGACTTGAACACTGGGCATTATCTAACAAAATGAAATTCAATGGTGAAAAAAGCAAGGTTCTACATTTAGGCAAGAAAAACCAAATGTACAGGTATATTATAGGGGGTACCTTGCTCAATAGTAGTAACTGCGAGAGGGACCTCGGAGTCCTAGTGGACAATCACCTAAATATGAGCCAGCAGTGTGCTGTAGCTGCCAAAAAGGCCAACACAGTGCTAGGCTGTATTAACAGAGGGATAGAATCAAGATCATGTGAAGTATTAATACCACTTTACAATGCCTTGGTAAGGTCACACTTGAAATACTGCATCCAGTTTTGGTCACTGTGATGTAAAAAAGATGTTGAGACTCTAGAAAGAGTACAGAGAAGAGCAACAAAGATGATTAGGGGACTGGAGGCTAAAACATAAAAGGAACGGTTGCTGGAATTGGGTGTGTCTAGTTTAACGAAGAGAAGGACGAGGGGGGACATGATAGCAGTATTCCACTATCTCAGGGGCTGCCATAAAGAAGAGGGAATCAAGCTATTTTCCAAAGCACCCAAAGGCAGGACAAGAAGCAATGGGTGGAAACTAACCAAAGAGAGAAGCAACCTAGAACTAAGGAGAAACTTCCTGACAGTGAGAACAATTAATCAGTGGAACAACCTGCCTCCAGAAGCGGTGAATGCTTCAACACTGGAAGTTTTTAAGAAGAGACTGGCAGCCATTTGTCCGAAATGGTATAGGGTTTCCTGTCTGAGCAGGAGGTTGGACTAGATGGCTTCCAAGGTCCCTTCCAACTTTATTATTATTATTATTATTATTATTATTATTATTATTATTATTAAGAAGCTAAGGAGCCATCTTTCTCCTTTTCTTCACAAAACTTAAAAATCAACATTTTCAGAAAGATTTTTTTTCTTTATATATTACCTATTAAAAATATTGAAATGTTTGTACAGTCTTTCAACTTACAGGACCAAAAGAGTACTAATCACATGGCTCCAGACTATTCCAATTATCATAAATACATTGCCAAGTGTCTGACTTTTGATCACGTGACCATGGGGATGCTATAAGTGTGAAAAACAGTCGTAAGTCATTTTTTAGTATCTTTTTAACTAAATGAACTGTTGTAAGTAGTGGACAGCCTGTATTTAAAATACAGGTCTGTCCATGGTTTTCCAAATTCAGCTCAAAGTTGTATTAAATTTAAGATACAAAGCTCTGAACAAATTTAAGCTAGACCATGTAAGGAATTGTTTGTCATGTTATAAACATGCCAAGTTATCAAAGGTAGTTTAGAAATAAGCGAAAGAGAAAATATAAACAAATGAATAAATATAGCTGTGTTCTCTGTACTTTCTCCCTTCTAAGCAGCTTATTTGACTGTAATGTATATGAACAGTAAAGCTCTTGTACATATACACAAGGCCAATACTGTACAATGCAGTTACTTTATATTATACTAAGTATTCATTTTTTAAAAACGAAATAATTCATTTTTAAATCAAAAGCTGAACAGGAAAAATGGCCAAATGGGTACCCATGGCATTGTGTCTCCCAAGAATGCTATCCTACAGACCAGTCATATCTTTAAGGAAATCATCAAACAATCCATTCATTTTACATTATCTCCTTATATATGGTTAGTAGCCACAGAAGAAGGGACAAGCAAAAAACATGCTGGCTTAATAACACCAAACCGGATGCAATACAATTGAAAGAAGCTGTGCTTGACAGGGTAGCACGGAGAACACTTGCCTATAAAGTCACCAAGAGCTGGACATGACTAAATGGTTAAAAGCAACATTTCATTTCTTCCATAAAATGTTCTCCCACCCTATTTTATTTGTTGTTGTTTTTTTTACAATGTGGGCATTTACTCAAAACTCAGTTCTTTATTTCTGCTGAACAAACTTCTCATTTCCTACATTGTACACCCACTCAGAATTTTTGGATCAACTGATTGTGAAATCACACGATCCAAGCAATTAAATGGCAGCAGGAAAGGAAGCCAACTAAACTATAACCTGTATAAAATATTAAAGTGCACAGATATAAAAATGGTTGGCTTCCATCATTCACATAAACCACAATCCTGTTCCCACAGCCACTAGCCTTGTCAAATCTCCATCAGTGGGCATTGTCCATGATCACAGTAAATATTTTCAGAATTCAAAGTACATACATGCATATGTCTTCGATAAGCAGAGCACCTAGCTAGGATCTTATGGGCTCCAGAACCAGAATAGAACTGGTGTAGTTACACTGCATCAGAAAACCTTTCCTGTTGGCTTGATAGATAGCAACATGTTGGTTCAGCCACTCTATTCAATCAGTGCTGAAGATGTCTTTTCTGTTTTGGTGGGCCTTGAGATACTTTGTAATGGAGAAGCTTGTTTTTTCCAGGACTGGGATTTTGGAGAATGTCCAACACGATTAGTTTAACCTTATGCTTGGGTGGGTTTGTTTGGGACTAAATTTAATCTCCCGGGAATAAATCATTTAGGTCAGGGGTAGTCAACCTTGGCTCTTTTATGACTCATGGACTTCAACTCCCAGAATTCCTGAGCCAGCAAAGCTGGCTCAGGAATTCTGGGAGTTGAAGTCCACAAGTCATAAAAGAGCCAAGGTTGACTACACCTGATTTAGGTCAATGTGACTCTTTTTCAATATAGTAAACTTTCAGTACAATGAATGTTGGTTTCACATTTAATGGACAAAACTCACGGAATCAAGTTTTGTCCAAATTTCAGGCAATAATGGATTCTTTCCAAACAACAGACAGGTATTTATTTGGTTAAACTGTCTGAAGAATGTTCTCTCTTCCCTTCAGTATTGGTATTGACTTATCAATAAAGTAAGCCTTGTGGTAAATTTGTTTTTGGGCTTGAAAATCTTTATTTTTGCCATTCAGCTTTACTAGGTGTTGAGACTCTAGAAAGAGTACAGAGAAGAGCAACAAAGATGATTCGGGGACTGGAGGCTAAAACATATAAGGAACGGTTGCTGGAATTGGGTATGTCTAGTTTAACAGAGAGAAGGACGAGGGGGGACATGATAGCAGTGTTCCAATATCTCAGGGGCTGCCACAAAGAAGAGGGAGTCCAGCTATTTTCCAAGGTGCCTGAAGTCAGGACAAGAAGCAACAGGTGGAAACTAATCAAGGAGAGAAGCAACCTAGAACTAAGGAGAAACTTCCTGACAGTTAAAACAATTAACCAGTGGAACAACCTGCCTCCAGAAGTGGTGAATGCTCCAACGCTGGAAGTTTTTAAGAAGAGACTTGGACAGCCATTTGTCTGAAATGGTATAGGGTTTCCTGCCTGAGCAGGGGGTTGGACTAAATGACCTCCAAGGTCTCTTCCAACTTTATTAGTATTAGCATTAGCATTAGCATTAGTATTAGTATTAGTACTAGTACTAATACTAATACTAAACACCTGCCCCACCAAAAAACCTAAATCGATGGCTTACTGCGGTCCCACATTTAACGAACAAAGACTAGCACTTCAGTTGCACAATAATCTAGCAGGGAGTAATCTCCAATAAAAACAACAGAATAGAAATGTATAGGATGTCTATTAAAACCTGGAACGCAATCCAAATTCACTCAGAATATAACTGAGTATGAACATGGACAGCCAAGTCTATTGAATTCCAGAGCAGGGAAAGAAGCAGCAAAATAACTTGTGCTCAAGTCCCAATTCATTTTGAGGATTCACAATAACAAATAGATTGTATATGAATGGAAGTTGGATTGGTTTGAACTCTGGAGTTCAAAATGCAAAGCTAATGCGCACAGGATTTTTTTATTATTGTTTATAGCAAATAATACAAATATTCAACAGTCTATTGTTACAGAGCAATACAATTAAATTAACACAAGGAAAACCGCAAGCCTCTGTGTTCTGTTGTAATATATAATATACAGCAAGAGTTTTTCCAAGACAATTGGAAAAAGAAATGGATGCTAAATGTATTACTAGAAAATATAAAATCACAAATAGAGATGGATTTTAAGTATACAGACGAAAAATTGGAATCCATTCTTGACTCCTGGCACTTGATATGTCCTAATATTTGAATTGGCTCTTTTCCAAAAAAAGAAACACCAAACTTTAAAGATAAAATGGAAAATAATAACCTTCATCCACAAGGAATGTTGCATTATGTAAACTGGCACCTATAGCTGATAAAGCAGAAGAAAGCAGATCATCTTGGCATGCAATGATTTTCAAACGTTTACAGAGTGGATAACAAGCAAATGAGATGAACCATCTCAGTTAAATTCCCCCTCATTCTCAGTAATTTGCAAAAAAAAAAAAAAAAACAACTTTCTTTCCAAGCAGCTTCAGCCATTCTTTCCTTGGAGGCAACAATACTAAAAAAATAAGCACTAATCAAAGGAAAAAAATTACCCTCATCTACTGGCTGATTATCTTCCCAACTCTTGATGTAGTCATCCTGTTAAGGAGAAGGAAAAAAGAACAAGTTAACTATTTAGTCCATAGAAAATGTCAGCAATAGAAAAATCATGTTATTCAGAATGCCAGGTAAATCAAAAGTTTTCCTCAATCTTGGGCATAGCATTTTAGGACTGGAATTTGGGGAGATCTCGAATTTGAACACATCCAAAGACTACTGAATTAGGAGGAACATTAATTCAGAGGGTGCAATATGTGATACAGATAGTCCTTGGCTTATGGACGGTTTGTTTGGGGACCATTTGAAGTTACAACGGTCCTGAAAAAAAGGGACTTAGGACTGTTTTCATATGACTGTAGTAGCATCCCCATGGTCCCGTGATCAAAATTCAGACACTCGGCAACTGACTCATATTTATGACGGTTGCAATGTCCCGGGGTCATGTGATCCCTTTTTGCAATCTTCCGACAAGCCAAGTCAATGGGAGAGCCAGATTCACTTAACAGTTGTGTTACCAACTTAGCCACTGCTGTGATTCCCTTAACGACTGTGGCAAGAAAGATCGCAAAATGGGTCAAAAATAACTTAACAACTCTCTCAGCCACAGAAATTTTGGGCTCAATTGTGGTCATATGTTGAGGACTATCTGTACTTTCTTGATAGACCTAATTCCGGAAACAGAAACCATGATCTGCTTACAGTTTCTGTTGGACCTACTTTTGTTGCATGAGAAGAATGTAAAGGAGACAAAAAAAAAACTGCACAAAGAAAAGGAAATGAACAAAACCTAACCCAGGGAATTTGCCCATGTTCAATTAAAATGTTTAAGCCAGGAGTTTCCAGAATATCAGGCCATATCCTCATTCCTCTTATTATTTTTAATAAGACTTTCCAAAAGTGGCAGGCCACAAAACAAAATAACAACCCATTGAAAATCAGTTCAACATTTTCTGGTTTAAAAGTCTTGTGCAATTAAAGATAAACATGCTCACTCAACCAGAAGAACAAAATAAAAATGGTCTAATGATCCAGCCTTCGGGATACAAGACTGTCATTTTGTTTCGTCGCAATCTCAGCAATCTTTTTTTGCTAAGCTAAAGCCTAGAATTGATTGACATGATGCTTATGGAACATCACCATGCTTTTTTTTCTCCTCATGATACAGTGATCTTGTGTAGTAAATTTGATTTCCTAATTTGATTTCTAGATGATGGAAACTGATAACCTTGCCGTAGTGGTTAACAGTTTTACTAATCTACTGGTAAAAGGAGAAACTTGTCAATTAGCAAAGAACAGCCAAAAACATGCAAATATTTTTGCAGAAATGCTTGCTGAATATTTTCAAGGGATCTGTGCAACCTTGTAGAACAACCCTCAGTCTACAGGAGCTTTTGATTTACACTTAACATACTGACAGCATTGTCAACTTGCATGTATTTTAAGAGAACCAGACATTACAACAAAAATGCTAATGTAAATCATCTGTTTCAGTGAGGAACTTGCAATGAGAAACCTGGAATGAGAAAATGATGACAGAGTCAAGCGGTTGTCTGAAATGAAAAAAAATGCATTTATCTTAGGTGATTCCCTACATAACATGTCATAAATTCATAGTTGTTTGCTTTTGCTAGATGAGGTGAAGTCTGCACTGGTTTTCATGCAATTTTATGGATTATGATGGGAAACAAAGGAAACTATGATGTCTAAAATAAGCTTTTCTTTGTGATAGCTCAAAGGCGGCATTTCTGCCATGCACCATTTTCCTTGAAGTGATGTGGTGGAAGAAGGAGGTGGGTGGACTTGAGTATAAAAGGAGATATTTTGAATTCAGACAACAGCCTCTTTAAGGGGAGATGACAAGGTGCTGCACATTTATCTCCATTTCTCCTGCCAATCTTCAAAATTAGAGGCTGGCTTGGAGAGAGAAGCTTTTGTTCCGATCTAAACAGCTTTTGGGGAAGTGTCAAAATTGCTGCTTCTCAAATGGATTGGATAGAAAAAAAAATGTGAGACCTGACTCACATCTGTGAATTGGCTGTAGAGATGATTTGGAGATGGCACATAGACTTTTAGCAATTTGCGTTTTTATCAGAATTTATAGGCAATCCATAATAGCCGGGAAGATCTGGCCCATTTTTCATGAACCATGTTCCACCAGTCAGAATGGCCTTTAAAAGCAGCTCAGTCCAAAGCACTGTGTTAGAGAAGACAAAGGAAGATGGCACAGGACTGATGAAATGAAAAGTAGATTTTTTTAAAAAAAAATCTATACTGACCTCCACCTCCTGGAAAATTCAGACCGCAGCAGAAGGACAGCAGAAAGAGAGAGAAAAAGAGAAGTAAAAAAACCAAAACAAAAAACAGACTCTCTGTGCACGAAAAAGCAAGTACAAAGTGGTTAAAATGCATATCAGCAGGGCAGGGTAACCAATTGTTTTTTTCTATTACATAACTTTCTATTACCATCAGAATTCATTCTCCATAAATGATGCTTTATTAACCATTCTTCTGGGGTCATTTTATGGGGCCACCCGGAGTCATAAATTTGAGATGGACGGCTGTATAAATTGAAATAAATAAATAAATGTTTGCTTTGATTTGTTTGTCCAGCTGAAATGCATTAAGCCATTTGTAAGAACAGCAATGGGGTCTTGGAGTCGAAAGGAGTATTAATCAAAACAGGACATTTGTTCAGCAGCAACAATTTCCTCCAGAGGTTTTCTCCTGCCTTTGGGGCATGAAGTATGGAGTCCCAGCAGGCTCTTTTGGAATTGCACAACATATTTCATACCCTGACAGGCCCAGCAATGTGTACACTTGCTTATATCCTCCTTTTCCTCTGCAAATAAAACTGAAGCAGGGACGTGAGTAAGTCCACTTGTTGGTAGTTACTCATTATAATACAAGTTTGTTGTACTGCATGAGGAAACAGACATGGAATTGCAATGTATGGATTCCATAATCTCTGGAGAGACTGTACCTATATAAGTAATTATGTATGGAGGAATATGATTCATCCTTTTTTTCCCAGTAAGTTTTTCAGCCAACTATATCCAGATAATCATTTTTTCCCAGTAAGCTTTTCAGCCAACTATATCCAGATATCAAAGATAATGGATATATATTTCTTTAGTATTATTTCTATCTTCAGGTAGTTATCGATTTACAACTGGTTGCTTAGAAACCATTTGAAGTTCCAACAGACCCTCCCCAAGCTATTTATAAACCAGTTTTGAAGTTCGACATTGGTCTCCTAGCACTCATGCGATCGCATTTTTGGGCACTTGGCAACTGGCTCAATTTATGACCATTTCCAGTGCCTGACAGTCACATGACCACAATTTGCAACAAAGCAATATCTACTTCCAATTTCTGGCAAAAAAAACGCCTGGCTCAGGAATTCTGGGAGTTGAAGTCCACGAGTCATAAAAGAGCCCAGGTTGCCTACCCCTGCGCTATAGTTTTCGTTTAATGACCACTGCAAAAAAAGTCATAAAATCAGGTCTGGTCATGTGGTGATCCACTTTATGATAATCACAATGTATAATTAAAATTGCCAGGCTCAACTATGGCCATACCTCAAGGACTATCTGTATCCACTCCAGTCACACTCCCTCCTTTATCCTTCCATAGGAATTCATATCTACAATGCTATTAGGAGCATTTAGGAAAAGTCAGTTAAAAAAGAATAGCTATTAGGCTACAGCAAGATCAGCCTTGCAGGAGGAGGGGTTACAGGGAACAATGATGCTCTGCCCAGCTAGTGAGCATTTCATGAGCGTCCTGTTGCCACTCTGGAACCACAATGCATGGCTGTGCAAGCAGTGGTGGGATTCAGCCGCTTCGCACCACTTCGGCAGAACCAGTAACTAATTTTTTGTTGCCCAGGGCCAGAATGGACTTCTGGAAGTGGCATCCACACAGAGAACCGGTTGTTCACATATTTGAATCCCATTACTGTATGCAAACCTTTTGGACTTACTAGTACTTACCAGAGAAGGTCCTCATTTCTGGAGGCTAAAACTTATGGATTGGGTATGTTTACTCTAGTGAAAAGAAGGACTAGGGAGACATGATAGCAGTGTCCCAATATTTAATTCTGTTAAATATGGAGGTCTTCTAGTCCAACCTCCTGCTCAGGCAGGAAACCCCATACCATTTCGGACAAATGGCTGTCCAGTCTCTTCTTAAAAACTTTCATTGTTGGAGCATTCACAGTTTCTGGAGGCAAGCCGTTCCACAGATTAATTGTTCTAACTGTCAGGAAATTTCTCCTTAGTTCTAGATTGCTTCTCTCCTTGATCAGTTTCCATCCATTGCTTCTTGTCTTGCCTTCGGTCCAATATGGCTGATCCCTTAGTTCCCTTCTCTACTTTTTGGGAGACAACATTGTCTGCCAGGTTTGTCAGGAACTTGTTTGATCTTCTACTTGGTGCAGAGTTGGTTTCCCAGTTGATGTCAGAGTAGTTAAAGTCCCCCATTACTATTGTGATGTGCTTCCTACATAGCTTAGTTAACTGACTAGCAAAAAGTTCATCTATTTCCTCTGTTTGGTTGGGTGGCCTGTAGTATACACCTATGGCAATGTCATTTCCCCCCTTTTTATATTGACCCAAATGCATTCAAGATAGTTTTTAATCATTGTTGTGCTCTATTTCTGTAGAGATGTAGTTAGTTCTTATATATAGTGCAAATCCACCTCCTCTTTTATTTGGTCTGTTTCTTTTAAACAATTTAAATCCCTCTAGCTATGTATTCCATTTGTGGGTTTCATCCCACCAAGTTTCTGTAATGATAGCAATATCATATTTGAGGGGCTACCACAAAAAATGAGTGGGTCAACCTATTTTCCAAAGCACCAGAAGGCAAGACTAGAAACAATGGATGGAAACTAACCAAGGAAAGAAGCAACCTAGAATTACAGTAAGGAGAAATTTTGTTAACAGTGAGAACAATTGACCAGCTTGCCATCAGAAGTTGTGAGCGCTCCATCACTGGAGGTTTTTAAGAAGAGATTGGATAACCACTTGTCTGAAATGGTATAGGGTCTCCTGCTCAAGCAGGGGGTTGAACTGGAAGACCTCCAAGGACCCTTCCAACTCTGTTATTCTATGTTCTCTTTATCTAAGAGATTTGCTTTAAAAATATTTCAAAGGATGAGAGAATTTTGGAGAACTTCTCATTCTCCAAAGGTGGAGGTGCCTTTACGTATGCGAGCACATGCATGCCGAACAGGACTGCACGTGCACAAATGGGGCCATAATTGTGTGCATGACACAAATGGGGCCACGAGCGCCCGCACAATGCTCGGGTGACCTTAGTGCGCAATGCCGCAATGCTATCACAAGTGGGCATGTTGTGCTTGCAGCAACAATAGCGCCGGCATGATGCCATGACCCTAGCATGAGCGGGGCACGCGCTTGTGGCAATGCTAGAGCCCACCAGACGCTCATGGCATTGCTAGCACCCATGCAACACCGTGACACTATCACAAGTCGGGGCATGCGAGCGCACACACGGACATGCACTGGCCAGCCACTCACGCGGCCCATTGGCCAACAGTCCACAGCCCGGTAGTGGGCCACGGACCACAGGTTGGTGACCCCTGCCTTAGAAGACAAGGTACCATCAGAGTTACCATTTCACCTGAAGTGATTTTCATGGAGTTGAAAGAGCAGATTTAGACATATAGATAAGCCCATTATTACAACCAAAAGCCAATTCCACAAATTAATCATTCTGTGGGATGCTTTTACCTCTGCTGTGCCTGAATGTTCAAAGTTTTAAAAATCTTTTCCTTTTGCAACTACAAAAGCCAGGAACTGAATCCAAAAATTTTACCCCTGTAAAAAAAAAAAATCTTCCCTCAGAACAAGTTCGTCTATGCAGTGTTTCTCAACCTTGACAATTTTAAGGCATGTGGACTTCAACTCCCAGAATTCCACAGCCAGCATTGCTGGCTGTGGAATTCTGGGAGTTGAAGTCCACATGCCTTAAAATTGTCAAGGTTGAGAAACACTGCGTCTATCACTTACCTGCAATGCTATTTGGGCCTTCAGGAACCTAAGAAAATTGCAACCCAATAAAATGGCCAAACTGTGAGATCAACCAAGTTTGTCTCAGAGGAAACAGAAGGGCCTAATTGGACATGGACATCAAATCAAGAACAGTGATCCTCCATTCCAGCAAGGTTCATATTTTTCTCAGTATTTCTCAGGGCTGTATTTTCAGCCAGCAAGCATTCATTTCAACAGAGACATCATTGCCTCTTTCATTTCCACTCTGAGAAGGACTGTTCTAGCCAAGCCATTTATCTCCCTGGCTCACTCCTGTAAAAGCTCTTCTCCCATTGTTCTTCTTTTAAAATGCCATGGCTGCCTCTCCATCCTCTGCATAGCCTCCAGCCCAGCTGAAATTCCCAAACTCTGAGACAAGGGATCCTTGCAACTGGAAGAAGCCACACTACAGCACAATTCAAATTCAGATGCATTGGGAGTCCCTATCTGCCCTCCCAGCTTTTTCTGGGCTTGCCAATTTGAAGGCCAGAAAACAAAACAAGTTTATTCTCTCTTGCATGGCATGCTCGAATCTTTCAGACTGCTGAGCTCCCGCTGAGCGCATTTTCAATAACACCAACCCAAAGTGAGCATACAAACCCTATTCTCTCTCTCTCTCTCTCTCTCTCTCTCTGTCTGTCTCTCCATCCCATGTCAGCCCAACAGGAAATGCTGCATTGTCAGAGCTGGCACACTGCCACTCCGCTGCAGCTCTGCCAAGTGAACAAATGAAGCTTCACATTGGGGATGGTAGCCACCTGTCATTGGGGTACTGCTTTCAAAAGCAGGGATCAAAAATACCCTTAGGGAAAAAAGTAAACCTGAAGACAAATTTGAGGTGATTGGAGGATGCGTCAATCTATCTATGCATCTGCTACTCTTGGGCAATCTTGATACTCTCTTGCTTAATCTTTCTCTCTAGAATATCACTGTTAACACAATATTGCATACATGCTGATTGTTCCAATTCCACACAGATTGTTTAAAGAATGCAGAGGAAATAAAAATAAATTTGTATTTATTTTTATTTATTTATTTAGATTTTAATCAAGTTGGGTGGCTGCAGAATGTCAAGAAGCTATGGAAAAAGAGGAACCCAAGAGGCAATTGTTGGCAAAGCTACATATTTGCTTTGCTTTGCTGTTGACATAATGTGATTTCCCATATAACAGATGCTAACCTTATCCTATTTGTTTTGATGCAAAAACAGGGCTGAGAAAAACAGAAAG